CACCCCCAACCCCTCTTCTCCCCCACCCCCTGCTATGTTTTTGGACAGCTACTCTGGACTACAGGCTTTCTTGGATTGTGGATTATGCCTGCTCTAGACAGCAAACATCTGGTAACAGCAGTAACTGAGTTGCTCCTCTTGAGGGGCATCTGTGGCTCAACATAGCCAGAGAGCATTGTCTCTCTTCCCAGGCCGAGCATTCTACCACCTTCTCCTGCCACATGCTATTTCTGACCATCCTGTGTTACTGCATGCCATCTATCTGCCCTTGAGAATGGGCTGTCTCTTCCCTGGGTGGGGCAGTTTAATCTCATTTCCTTCAAGGTTTATCTCTTGCAGCTTCTGCTCTGTATGTTGCCAGCCAGGGTTGAGCATGGTAGTGCTAGCGATAGGGAGGAGAAGCCCTCCTGGCAGGTGGGAGTGAAGTAGCTAACCTGGTTTGGGTAATGCAAACCCCTTTATTTTTAGCTTTCTAGGCACTGATGCCTCTGCAGCTCCCCTTATTATTCTGAGTCCTTCCAGCATTTTTACTCCCTTGTTAGTAAGATTCCTGTCTTTTAACTTGGCCAATTACAAACAGACAAGCCCTTTTCTGGGCTAGGATGGCAAAACAAACAGGAGCTTATTACAACCGTGTTAGAATCAGGAGGATTTAAATTGCATCCTTTCAATTTCATTGTTGTGCATGACAATAATACCTAATGGTTATTTTAAATGAAGGAAATCACTTTCTCGCCAAAGCAGCGTCAAAGCAACAGAACATTAAAGTAGAATCTGTATTGCCAGTGCTTAATTTGGAACAAAGATACCTGAAAGTGGTCTCCTGTGTTGTGTAGCCAGTTTGAGTGTGCAGCTGGTAATGTATCCCATCCATTTGGGCCTTTTGGAATTGGCTGGGTGCCACACAAACATACAATTATATTTCACCAATTATATTGGTGTCTGCAATGCTTCTAAAGAAAATGGTTAGACTGTTTAATGTCACAATGGATCTGGTTATAGTTATTTCTAAACACACTCAATGCTTATTTTCTGGTTGCTCCTTTTCGGATTTAACCACTGTAACAGCCTTCTCCAACCTTGTGTCTTTCAAATGTTTTGGACTATAGCTCCCAGCATTCCTGACCATTGGCTCTCTTGGCTGAGGATGATGGGAGCTGAAATTCAGGGCATCTGGAAGTCAGTAGGATGGGAAAGTTTACACTAGAGACTCAATGAAAAGGGTGGAGAATTCAGGACTGCCAGTTCTTTTGCACATACGCACATAAATGGAATATATTACATTCCTGTACTGCCCAACTGCCAAAGCTCTTTGAGTAGTTTACAACAATTAAATTATTATTTTACACTGCATTTCTGTCTTTCCTTTTTTCCTCTTGTGAGGAACCCAAGGTGGTTTACACAGTTCTCCTGCATGCCATTTCATCATACCAGCAGCCCTGTCAGACAGATTAGGCTGACGGTCAGTGACTGGCCCCAAGTCACCTTGTCAGCTTCTTGGCTGAGTTGGGACTAGAACCTGGATCTCTTGGGTCCCCAGTCTAGCCCCACCAACATCACTCCACACCAGCGCCCCTTGAAACCATGAAAATATATTATAAAAGCCATATGAATGCAAAAATATGTTTCTGTTCCTTGCACTATGGGACAGCATACAAACACAATATATAGATATATAAATGGACAATACAGAGAGAGATTTAAAATAAATTATTTTTTAATTCAGCAGCATGCAGACTAGCCAAAATATGAAAAGGATCAAAACTTGGGACAGGCATTTATTAGCAACTGTTCCTGATAAATAGTAAGCATATGTATATCAGTAGAAATCACACTGATGGATTATCTTAATTCAATAAAAATTCCACTTATTCCCTCCAAAGGACTTAACAGCCTCCCCCCCCCCATATTCAGGTTTTCCCTGATCCAAGGCATATGGTCTCCCAGTCAGCCATCCCCACCCCAATCCAAGTAGTTTAAATGGCAAGGCTTCCCTAGCTTTACCAATAGATCTGTTTTGAGTGCCTCTAGATCATTTTTCAGATATCTTCATTCAGATGAAGAACCTTTGCTGCACTGCGACTTTACATGGGAAACCACTAATAACAAAGGAGAAAAACAGGAAAAGGCAAGGGAAAATTCCACAAATTGTCTTTGGACAGGTCTAAAGAAAGCTAACTGGCCAGAATGGAGGATGAAATTGCATCCATGCCTAGTTCTGGGCTTCCTGTAAACAGCTGGTTGGCCACTGTGCAAACAGAATGCCAGATCATATTGGCCTTTGATCTGATCCAGCATGGCTTTTATGTCTGTCTATTCCAGTTCCATGTACTGCAGCCACCCCCGATCTGGTGCCAGAAAGATGTTTTGGACCCTGGTCATGTTTTGCATTCCCGGTCAATCGCCATGGTGGCAGGGCTGGTGACAAAACATCTAGAGGGCACCAGGTTAGAAGGCTAATCCACTGGGACTGGTTGCAGATCTACAAGGCTTCAGTCAAAGAGGAGTGTTCCACATCACCTGCTACCTGATCGTTTTAACTGGAGACCCCAGGGATTGAATCTGGAACCTTCGGTATACAAAGCAGGTACTCTACAACTCCCTCCCAAAATAGGACAACCTGTCAAAATGATGAATAGACACCAAGTCTGTTTCTATCTGCTTTTGTTGTGGTGCCTTATTAAGGTATCATTGTTATCATTATGGGATCATTAAGCTCTAATGCCTTTTAAAAAATGAGTACATGGAAAGGGACCTACCTTATACTACAAATTTCAGCTTGTTCGATAGTGATCCCCTGTTTCCAAGAAACCCTGGGTTATTCTACTTTGGGAGGTGATGCTAAACATTTGTAACAAATAAGCACCCTCCAGACTTCAGCTCATGGGATCTCTGGGGAAAATCTTAGTAAATTATATACAACATACGCACACACATTATATGTATGATGGTCATGTTGATTGTAAAAATGCTAAATTTCTTATCTGTGTAATACTTTTATTAGGCCAATGAAAAGATCACAATGATTGTGCAGGCCCTGTAGATCTCTAAGTCTCTTTGTCAAGCAATATATTACAAAAAGCAAATTTGGGGTTAGAAGGAAAAGGAAAAAATCTTGACTTGATAGTGAAGTCAGTTTCAGCATGTTCAGATTCCCAAGGAAGGGTCTGCATGCATTCCAACCAGGATCCACAGGGCATGTGATGGCTGAACCTGCAGCTGGTTTGCTGAGCACCACAAAAAGGAAATGTTGGATTCCCCCACTTTGCAAGTCCAGCTCATTTGGGAAATATAAGATAGAGGTATATCATTGCTATGAACTACAACAGGTATGTTGGTAGGTGCCCAGGCCCATAGGACACAAATATACATAAAATCTACACATACAAACTTTCGCATACACACAATTGCAATGATTTATTTAAATTTCACAGGAGGCAATTAATTTCTCACTCAAATGAATAAAATGAATTATTTGCTGTCTTTACTCAATCATCCCAGAGTAACCAAGCAAGATCTCTACCCCACCCCTCCCAAAACTACCCATACAGGGGAAGACTTTTGTATGGATACTACAGCATGTGGGAAGGAGAACGTTAACCCTTCTATCCCCACTTATGTTCTCCCTTGAAAATTGCCCCCTGCTGAAACGGGAAAAAACCCCTTTCATTGGCACTTGTAAACATCCAGGGCTCTTCAGAACAGATCTAGGGCCAGGGACCCATAGGGCCATGCCACTAATGCCCCTGACCACTAGTAAGGTGGTCAGATGCAAAGGAAGGTAGGCCTCCTGCACTTGCAATAGCTGTATAGGAGGAGGAATTTCATGATGAGCTACCAGCCCCAGTTCCTTGGTCACACAAGTTACTGCAGGCTCCCTGCCCACTTTTGCATTTATGCACTCTGGCCTCACCTGCGGTTCTACGGCAGGTTCTTAGTACCAAATAGCTTCCGGAAACCTCCAGCACACAAGATTGCACAACCTTCTGCTCATCATTATGCCATGGTCAAATTACTCTTGCAGTTAAACCATGTTAGGGCCAACATCGACAAGCGATTCAGCACCGAACAACATGCTGACAATGTTATGAGGTGGAGGACTGCAGTTAACTTACTTGCGTGATACCATGTAATATGCATAACAAAGGCAGGCAAGTTGGTCATAAGAAAAAAATCAGCCTGTATACTCTATTAGACCAACTGAAAGATCTTATTTCTGTGGTCACTGAACTGTCCTGATAAAAAATATTACCTTATATTGACTTTGCAATATACGTGTTTGTAAGCACATAATTTAATTGCATATAATTATCGTTTTTCCAAATGTGGCAATTAACAGGTTGTGTGTGATGGCAAAAGTTGCCCTAAGGAGTGTTTGTCTGAACTGCTCAGTTTCAAAACATTTTCTCTTCACTTTTTCAAATTATGTTTCTTCATCATTTAGAGTATCATTGCTCACTCTGAGCTTTTGAGATGGGATGGGGAAGTTCATAAATCAAAATTTAAAGCAACATCGTTATTTGGAAACATGCTTGTTCTGGAATTATTGCTGCTATAGATTGAACACTTTTGATACATGGACCTTTGGAGTCAAGAGCAACAAAACACCTATCTGATAACGGGAAGCTTTTATGCTGGGGAAGCTCACAATACAGCACAATAACCCTGGATAGCCCATACAACTTGCACGCTGTTTGTCTGTTCTAGATGATCATGTCCGAAGAGAAGAGGATCTGCTGGAATAAACTGTAATTCTATGCCCATTTAACATAGTAAGCCCCATGGAATTCAGTGGGACCAAACCTGAATAGCACTGTCCAGGTGCTATTCCAGGTACCCTATGCCAGGTACACTAGCCCTTGAATCTCACATGAGATTGCTCCAGTGGTCTGACTTTCTATGGTGAGGAGAGGCTGGTGGGGGTATCTCAGAGCACAACACATTCTGGATCATTACTCTGGAACTTGGTCTCCAACCCTCTCTCTTTCTTTCTCACACAGCTTAAGATTTCATTTAGTGAAAATCAGCTGGAGAGGACCTTTGAGTACCCGTCAGAGGGCTCCCTTCTGGAGAAGTTTGGGCCTCCGGAGGAGTCAGAGTCTCTGACCTACACAAACCCTCATGTGGATGATGATGATGAAGAGGAGGAACTCCTGCTGCTTCACCGGGGCCTCCCTGGCCTATTGAGGACCAAACCCCTCATTGTGGGTAAGCATCCTCTGGAGAAGACTGGGCGTGGTTGATTGAGGGAGACCTGCCTTAGACTATATTACACTCTTTCCCCTCGCTTGCAGTCTCGGGGTTGGCTCTGGCACAGGTTGGCATTAGGCTTATTGACTGGAGGAAGAGGGAAAGCCTTGCAAACCAATGGAGAATGAAAACATCACATGGAACAACTGTACATGACTAGGGTGTACAGAAGTAGGCATGGTATGGAAAAAAGTGCTTGGGAAGACATTTTCTCCCTCTTACAATACTAGAAGCCAGGGCCAACCCATCAAGGTGACTCCTGGGAGATTCAGGACAGATGAAAGGAAGGATTTCTTTACACAGCATACAGATAAACTATGGAATTCTCTTTCTCAAGCGGTGGTGATGGCTACCAATTTAGATGGTTTCAGATGAGATTTGACAAATTCATGGAGAAGGCTAGCAATGACTACTCATCCTGATGGTTATATCCCACCCCCAGTATCAGAAGCAGTACACCAGTTGCTGGGGAACATGGGTGGGAGGGTGCTGTTGCATTTCTGTCCTGCATGTGGGTTTCCTGTGACCACTGTGTGAACAGAATGCTAGACTAGATGGACCCAAGCTCCGATCCATCATGGCCCTTCTTATGTTCTTAACCTTTTAACCTTCTGACAAGGCAAAAAGTCCTAGTTAAGTCAGCTGAACCCATGATGATCATAAATAAGAATGGCTGTCTGTTTCCATACCAAGCAGAACGCTCTGCATTCAATATCTGCCAATTTAGTCCTGGAACTTAGAAAAGGTATTCATTCCATGAGCCTAGGTCAGATTAGAAACATATCTAGCAATAAGAAAAGGTCAGCTAGGAATCTATATTTTGATCCGATCTGTTTGCAAGGATGTGAGATTAAGAACAAGTTATACAAGGGCAAGATGCAAGCCTCAACTTGAATCTCTAGATTCCAGCAAGATGTGCTGGATGTGTAAAAGAGCAGACATGCTTTTACCTGGGACAGTTAGAGACAAAGAGGGATTTAAACTGACACTTAGAGGCTGAAATTATGGTTCCATCTGGTGGCCCTTTTGGGGAAGTGCAAGAACACTAGGTTCAGTTCCTGGAAAATCTGAAGGTGCAAAATGGTTGGGACTTTTTGGCTTCTTTCTTTGTGCTTCATCTTTATACTAACAACTCACTTGTTCTTTCTCTTCCCTTTTCCAGATGAGTCCTGTCGGCGGTAACCCCGTTCATCCTTCTCCATAGTAGGGAAGGCTGAAATATATCTAAGGATTCACGCCACAGTTTGAATCCTTCAGCTGGACCTTGAATTTCTTTCCATCTTCCATTGGCCACCATGCCAAGGAAAGAAGCCAGGACCAAGAAAGACTGGAAAATGTTGCCCTTTTTCCAGGGCTTTGGATGTATTTTCTTCCTTAGGGAGAAAAGAGACAGTTCCAAAAATATCCTCTTCTCTTCAGTGTCCCCTCTCCCACCACCGGCTCTAGTCTTGAAACAGGATCTCAGAAGACCATCACCCCAATGAAACAGACCACCCCAGATCTGGATGGCAGTGGGTGCTTTGAGTCATATGAGACTTTCCCTGATCTAGATGGTAGGGTTGATCTAGATGATCTGGACAGGGAGCTCCTAAGCTACTGCACAGGTTTGATTTAGAGAATTCTTTTCCTGTCGTTACACTGCCAGCTGACAAGGATTCTGCTCCATCAGCATCTTAGATTTACAGATTTCTTAAAACTGCCAGCAAAGGGAGCTCTGAACCTTGTATACGCATTGTTGCTGTTTCAAGCAAGGGCTATCATCTTTCTTCCTGTTATCACCCAAGCAATGGTTCATTAACCCTCACTGGGTTGAGGGACAATATAATTCTCAGGTTACTTTTTGTAAAGTACCTGGATGTTGTCCATGAGAACCCTGAATGGAAAAACAAAATCCTAATAGTTGCCATATGTTTGAGAGTAGCGGGAGAGAGGCATTAGCTGTGAAAAGCAAGCAGTTATGTTGGCACACAGCCTAACAGTATTGGGGAGAGCTTTGTAGCTGGGGAGGGGGGTGTTCCAAGTTTTTTTAACCAATTCTGGAGGAAGTAAATTCAAAAGAATATGGCTCTAGTTATTGAAGCAAGAGTTACAACTAATAAGGCATGTACCTGGGCAAATGGGGAGGGTTCTTGGGTGTTGCTAAAAAGCAGGAGCACTTGGTATTAAGGCATGAGACTGGGATCAAATGGGAAACGTCTGTCTCTGCATATGGAGAGAGCTAGTTGTTGCTGGGGATGGTTTATTTCTCTTTTTAGTTCAGGAAGAGGCAGTCATACTGGAGACAGCCAAGCCTGAATTTGGCATCATAGAAAGCAGGAAGCAGCAGTGTGTGGAGATAAGGAACGAAGTGGAGCCAGCGGGAAAGTGCAGCTGCCTGTTTTAGTCAAATTCATTTCCTGTTCTGGATTCAGAACTCATTAGGGATTGAACGGGCAGGCAATGAAGTGGAATGAATAGATGCAGGTGGGATGTTAGAAAATGAAGTGATAATGACCAATAGGTGTGTGTGTTTATTATTTTACAAACAATCTTGATGAGTATTTGTTGTTCTTCACTGCATGGCATGTTGAAACTGAAAAGGGGGCCAAGGGACATTGGGAATAGCTTTCAAAAGGAATCAACCAGAGAGAGATTGCAGTTCAGCTTGCTATCAGCAGCCCAAGGTTGGCTTTAGGATCTGGGGAAAGCCTCAGAAGAAAGACTACCAAGTAAGGGATAGGCAGGGCAGGTCATGCAGACCATGGGCACACTCCAGAGTCCTCTACCAACAGGATCTGATGTACACAAACCAAGCCACATGCCACTGAACTGCGGTTCTAGAGTTTTGTTTTCAAATACAGCGTTCATTCTGCCAAATGAGGACAATATCGTTCTTAGATAAGATTAAAAGGAAAGTAAAGACCTGTGGAGAATTTGCTAGAAGTCCTTTAAATCTTATCAGGAGGCTCCCTGTTCCACTCAGGGCATGAGGGGCAAGCACAGCTGGGCATCTGCTAAGAGCTAATTCTCAGCGCCCCCCCACCCCCCGTCCCGGAGCTCTCTGGCCACTGTGTTCCCCTTGTCACTGCTGGTCCACTGGCCCTCTCTGAGTGAAGAAGCAGAGACAGAAACAAGAAGAGCAGCAGCCTCTGTGTCTTCACTCTGGATCCATCTTCGGCACTAAGGCGAAGGGCAAGCTGATCTGGTAGTGGAGATAGCAAGGAGGGGCAGGCAGGCCAACTCAGGGAAGCAGGGAGTCACTGTGGGCGGGCATCTTGCCCAAGGGCTCCCTCTCCAAAAAACAAACCAAGCAAGCAACCTGGAGCTGCCTTAGGATCCTGGCAAATACCTTACAATTCAACCCTCTGGAACTGCCAATGCAAATCTTCCATCACTCTGATTGAAAGCCTGCAGCAAAGCCAGAAGTGTCCGATTCAAATTGGAGGCATTTTAAAACCTTGAACAGGAATTCCTCTTTTTATTGGGAATCTTGAGACTTGGGGAGCCTGTTCAGTTACATGGCTTGAAGAACAGCACAACTCATCTCCAGGAAAGGATGCAGACTGAAAGAATGAAAGATGGATGAATGTATGAGAACAGAAAACTGGCTTTAGGAGCATGATGGTGAAGAGTGTGGACTGAAGGAATAGAAGTATGCAAGAATGGAAGGAGATGGCGCAGATGGGAAGGGATGAGAACAATGACATGTCTTCTCTCCCCCTTCCATGCTAATTTATCATGTTATCCATGTGCACCATGTTTATCATTACTCTTATTTTGCACTGTGGGAGCAGCCATGCCCAAAACCCATGATCGAATGAGTGAATGACTGAAAATAGCAGACATCTCTTTCTTTGATGGGGTCTGCAAAGATCAGTGTATGTCGGGTGAGGGGCGAAGCAGCTGTGTCCAGCCATTTCCATCAGTGTTTTTTTAATATGTTGTTATTATTATTATTAACAATAAATCAGAATGATGTTGCACGTTGACCTAATGGTATTCTATGATCTGTTAGCCTTGTTTACTATATCATTTACTGACAACACTCCTCTGAATATTGGATGCTGGGGAGAAATAACAGAAGAAAGCCATTAGGCTCCTGCCCTACTTCCCAGAGACATCTGGTAGGCCATGCAATGTTAGAGAATTCTGGGTTAGATGAACTCTGGTGCGCTGCTGCAAGGCAATTCTGTCATTCTCTTATGGTTGTCTTCACTTCACTCTGCTAAATGAGAAAGAAATCTGGGTTGGTTTGTGGAATCACAGATGGGACAAAGGAACTCTCCTCACCACCGCAAGCATTCATCTGCCAGGCCCAGCACAGATTAATAAAAATACTCCAAATCATGGTGTGTTGTGACAGGAGGTCAGCAATTTATGGCTTTCCAGATGTTTTGGCTTACAAATCCCATGAACCCTAGCCAGTAAAGCCAATGATGAGGGATCATGGGAGTTTAGGCCAAACTCTAACTCAACCCTACATAAAACCTAGTTATTCACTTAGCTTGAAAACCCTCTAATCTGACATCTGGGACAGCTCCTGATATTTTATTGTGCTAACAAGAAGGGGCTTCTAAGCAACCTGGTGCAAAAAAGGAGGATCTTAGTAAGTGAAAGGGCACAGAGCAGGTGACTGAATAAATTGTTCAAGTGCTTTCTGGAAGTTCCCCTGCCTGAGACAGATGCAATGGAGTTGAGAACACCACACTCCACAGCAGCTCTCACTTCTGCTCTAGAGATGGGAAGGAAGAATTTACATACATAGTAATGTAGTAATAAAGTGCCTTCATCAGTCTATCATATTTATGGTTAAAATCTGACACCACAGAGCCTTATTTGGATGCTGTTTAATTTTATAACACTTTTTAATTCTGATTGTGAGCCGCCTAGAGATGCTACGGCACAAAAGGCAGCATATAAATATCTTTAAAAAAATAAATATAATCCTACATGAGTTTGCAATGTTAAGGATGCAATGGGAAGCCCTCGTGGTGTAGTGATTAGACCTCTACATTGCGACTGGGTTCCAGTCACCTCCAGCCATGTAAATTACGGCGTGATTTTGGGCCAATCACTGACTCTCAGCCTTGTCTATTTCCCAGGGTTATTGTGAGAATTAAATAGAGAGGAGGGGAAAAGGGTGGGGTATCTAAATGTAATAATAAATGGAGTACGTACCATTCGGCTAACTTCTGAGAATACACGTAGAAGCTTACGCTGTAAATTTCTCTTAGAGGCAGTCTATTACGGTCGGCTCATAAAGATATAAAGGTGTCCACGGCTCAGCCACGACACCTAAGAAGTGAAACAGTCGAGAAAGCACACACATTTCTCAAATGCCTAACCGCAGTTTTTCCTAACCTTGGGTCTCGAAGTTGGGCTGCAATTCCCTTCCTGCCTGACAGGTAGACATTGTGGATTGGAATTACGGGGACTGTAGTCGGAAGCGCAAAGGCTACGCGATGGTCTATATGCAAATCAGGAGAGGGAGGTCAAATCTCAGCGGAGAAAATAGAAAGGCTTTACTCAATCGGATGCTAGCTAGACTTTTGGACTACGGCCAGCCAGTTGTGGACTGCAACTCCCAAAATTGCTTAACAAACCGTCTGGTAGCTGTGGGATACTGGGAGCTTTAGTCTGCACTTTATTAGGGACTACCGGTGCAGGTCAGGGTTGGAGTCACCCATCTTAGAAGTCCTCTCTTTAAACGTCTCTCTACGCTCACTCGCCGCTCGGCGACAGGAAGTTGTTCTCTCCGGGAACGTTGATTGGTTGGAAGGGGCACGTTTCAGGAAGTGTTGCTACCGCTGCCAGACGGTGTAAGGGAAGCGGGGCGCAGGCCCTCTAGATCGCGGCGTTCCGCTGCTATGGCGGGAGAGCTGGAGCGCTGGGTGTCGGAGCAGCTGCACACCCTCCTGGGGCTAAGCGAGCGCCATGTGGTCGCCTTCATGGTGGGCCTGGCTCGTCGCAGCCGCGCGCCGGAGGACTTGCTCGCTCGCCTGGAGGAGACCGAGACCCTGCGCGTGACGGACCCTGCCGCGCGAGCCTTCGCCCAGCAGCTGTGGGAGCGGGTGAGGCGGTTGGCCGGTCGAGCGCGCGCAGCGGCCGCGGGAGAGGGGGCCGCCCGTCGGGCTCGCCTTTTAAGAAGGGGGCGGGGAAGGCGCAGTCCCCGAAAAAGTGGCGGGTGGTTCCTATCTACATCCTTCAGATGTGTTAGATCACAACTCCCATAATCCTTGCCAATTGGCCCCACGGGTGGGGTTTCTAGTCCGATACATCCGGAGGGCACCAGGTTGCCTAGCTCCGATATAAATCTGTTGTCTGGTTCTGCTATGATGGTGTCCCTTATTTGTTTGCATTCTTATTCAGACTTTAAGCCAAGAAAGCTCCCAGTGTATTTTCCAAAATGAGAGTAAAAACGGTCTGTTTCCTTGAGATTTTCTGTCTAAAAAATTTACAGGTGGGAGGAAAGAAAAATTCAGGCACAAGATTTTTAGTTGCAGGATTCATGAAGTCGTGGGCATAGTGGTAGGGCTACTGCTTCCTGTCCCCCGATGGCCCTCACAGTGCCAGTTAGCAGGAGGCAGGGGGCTCTTAACTGCAGCTGAATCCAGACATAATGGAGGAATGTTGGTACAGGAATGTACAGTTATTCTTCTCTGTTTCATTTATCTATATCCCTATAGTTGAAGTTTGTTGACCAAATGGCCTGTGTCCTGGTGTGCATATGCACAAAATACACAATAAGAGAAGGTTTTCTTTTAAAGGATTTATTCTTAAAAATAACCAGCTACCAATCAATCGCTCCAGATGGTGCACCTGAGCAGTCCTCAGTTGGCCCTTTTACACATGGATCATTAAAGGATTACACATGTTGGGATAAATCCTGTCTGAAAAGCATTACTCCTGTGTGCCTTTGCATTGTGGGATCAAATCCTGTCTTCCTTCTCAAAACCAAGCTGTCACTGTTTAAAATGGCATTCCCCTGCTCCTTTCTCTCACCTTTAGCTGTAGGCTACAGCAGACAGGCCATTTTAGCCCAAATATCCATTGTAAATAGTCATTGTTGGAATTCAGTTTACAATAATTTTTTGATAGCCCAGAAGGCTTCATGTGCCCTGATCATGCAGAATGTTTAGAGTCGAGATAGGGGTCTGAGCTTATCATGAATAGTTTCTAGTAGCTTGAATTTGCATGTCTGACCAGACCTGGAGATGGGTTCAAGTTGCTCAACTAGAGTGTCAATGCAGACATTAGAAATATTGCAATCTCATTGTTACATTGTGATTGACTGACATTTCTTTATCTGTTCTGCATGGGATGACCTCGGAATCTTATTGTAATCTCTGCATTCTGTCATTTATTGCCCTGTACCTGTGTACCTATAAATGCCCTGTAGTGGTATTGAAGCTTTGCAGCAGAGTTCACCTCTGCCTGCCCGGTAATGCAGCATGCATTATCGTGAGTGTACCCCGGGAACCTTGGGGTAAATACAATAAAGCCTCAGATGGTCTGGACGCTTGGTCTTTCCCACGAACCCGAGTTTTATTCCCTCTTCTCAAATTGAGATTCCGGGATTCTTTTCAGACAGGATTTATCCAAATTTTCTCAACACACATAACACACTTAACACTTTCCAATAGGTTACAGTAGTAAAAAGTTAAAATGGTGTGATCTTTTTCACTTGCATACTAAAGAAGATGCTCCAAAGGGGATGTGGATGGGGTGCTATTACATAGAAGAGGAGGAGGATGGGGTGGACTGCTGTGATTTGTCCTTTGTTTAAGCTGCTGGTTTGTGTCAGCTACATTTCAAGGATGCACACATGCTGATTTCTCGAAAAGAGGTTTTCTTTTCTGGCCAGGTTATGTTGGGGCTGATTACATGATTATACCTGTACCAGTTATAACTATTAATCTGTGCATCATGTTGGAAATCTTACTTTCTGTGTGTCCAAAACATTTGATGCACATTATCTCAGCAACATTTATCAAGTTCTTGTGAGGTAGGCCAAGATCATTATCCCATATTGCAGGTGGGGAGAAGGAAGTGAGGAGAAGTAAATCGTAGATTTCCAAAGGCCACCTGCTTCATTCCTGCCAAAGAACTGGGGTGCGCCAGTTAGACAGGGAAAAGAACAATGATGCAAGAGTTTTCCTTAGGACAAAGACAGACAGTTTCTTGGTTCTCAGGGCCACCATTCTTCATCAGGGACTACAACTGCATTGTCACACAGAAAGTGAGCACCTCATAGTGACCTGGCTGCATGATGAAGCTGTTTGTACTAGATCCTTCATATGGTAAAAAATTGCAAGGGACTGAAGGGGAAGATAAAGGTAGAGAGAGTTAATATACCTGTAGGGCTTTTGAGTGTCTGAAGTGCTTCACAGGTGTAATTCTCATAAGTCCATATGACTGGTTAGTATTCCTGTCCCCATTAACATCTCCTTCCATTTACACCTGCTTGAACTTTGAGATTATCCACAGAAGTTCTTCTCCAGGAACTCTCTTTGAAAGAGGCTAGAAGAGTGGCTACTCAGGGAAGGGCTTTTTCAGTGATAACACTCCAGCTATGGAACTTGCTCACTAGAAAGGTGTGCCTGGCAGTGATGCTTTATTCATTTTGGTGCCAGGCCAGGCCAAAACGTTTTTATTTACCTGATATATTAATGCTGAGCATGATTTTTACTGTACATTTTATATATTGTAAGTTGTTTTAATCAAGTGCTGCTATGTGTTTTTTATTCCTTGTAAGCTGTCTAGAGATCCTGAGTGGATATAAGGTGGGATAAAATGTTTTAAATAAAACTTAAAAATAATTTATAGCTAGATTTTTTCTGCTACACTAGCTCACTACACATTCTAAACAGGATTGCATGCAGAAGTGGAGTTAGTGTGGGAAGTAATTGAGGAATGGGGAATGGTCTGAGGAAATTAACTATTCTGAGGAATGGGAATAGAACAGGCTTCTCCAACCTGATGTCCTCTGGATTTGTTGGAGTACAGTTCCCAATGTGCTGGCTAGGGCATGGTAGAAGTTGTGCTTTAGTACATCTAGCAAATGGGGAAGCTTGGGATAGACACTCAAGGGAGGTGAGGTGTGTGTGTGTGACAGAGAGAGAGAGAGAGTCACAGTCCCTGAATTATTGTCCCTCCCTGTTCCTGATAGGTTCCACACCAGGCCCCGCGGGAGCGTCCAGCCAGGGCAGCTGAGCAGGAGGCGTTGGCTTTGCAGCAGAAAAACCGTTCCTATACGCTGCTGGAAGATAGTGATGATGATGTGCCCAGTGAAGCAACAGCAGTCCGGGGCTCCAAGCGTCACCACCCCCCACGAGGCCCTGAGGGCAAGCAGCGGAAGCGGCACAAACACCTGAGGCAGCGCAAGGAAGAAGAAGATGATGATGACACAGACTCTGATGAAAAGGGCAAAGGAAAAGATGGGGGATGGTGAGTAGCAGTCACTTTGCAGAAAGAGGAGTTGTGGCAAGGAAGCAAGTGAAACAACACTGCTGTTGGGAGTGAGGAGGGCGGCTGCTTTGGGCAATTGTTCTCACAGACTGGTGCCTCCAGTTCAGAAGATTCAAAATTGGAATCTATAACAGCAGAGAAGGAGAACTGGGGACATGTTGAGGCATTGAGATGAAGGAGTTGGATGTGCTTATCTCAAGCGAGTTGATTCAGCAGGACAGGCAGCTCCTGGGAATAACTAAACCATCAAGCTGATGGGAGGGGACTCTGGAAATGAGGGGTTCTCAAGACAGAGACCAGCCCCCCAGCTCTTGACCCCCTGATGAGGCATCAGCAGACAGCCCAGTTAAATGATTGGTGCATGGAGAGGAGGCATGCTCGTGTTCAGAGAGCCCCTCCTGTTGGGATGGAGCACAGGCATGTTCCTAAAGAGAGTTATTGGAGGTAAATTGGGTTCAGCAAACCGCTCTGTGCATGTTCAGAGGTTCGTTCCGGGTGATTTGTACTTGGAAGCAATAAAAAACTTTTTCAAGAAACATGGCCTGTGGGTTTAACTGCTTGGAGGCGCATCCTCCACTTGCAACAGCTGCCCACTTTTACCCTTCTTGGTGTAGGAATTCGGTAGTAAAGGAAGAAGATTCAGAGGATGAATGGGATCGGAGTGAGCGAGAGCGCCTGCAAGACTTGGAGGAGCGTGATGCCTTTGCTGAACGGGTCAAGCGCAAGGACAAGGACAAGACGCGCAACATCCTGGAGCGTTCAGACAAGAAGGTAGGGGTTTCAGTCCGTGGTTTTATTACTGGGAGCCTCCTGGCTGCTCTTCCTGGTTTGTGCTCCTCAGTGTCTGCTCTGGATTTCCCACATGGTCTGTTTCATTATTACTGGGAGTATTTCATCTCGGGCTTGGAAATTGCATGCTTGTAATATTCCTGAATATGAAAAGGGCTTTTTAAAAAAATAAGGCTACAGCATGTGACTTCCTGTGAGTCAGCTTATCTAGCCCTTGATCCTGCAAATAATTGCTTGACTGAGTGTGAACTCTGTCTGCTACAATCTTAGAAACCAGACAGATTCCTGACAACAGTTTGCTTGGTCAGGAATAGGAAATCAGTGTCTAGTATATCATCTTTCTCCAGATAGTAGGAGCAGAATATATTATGCAATACAGCATATATTGGAAAATAGATTATGTAAACTAAGATGGGTCGTGTGAAGTTGCTTAGTTTTGATCATTTGCAAAAGTTGCAGATCTTTGTACAGGTTACCTTGGCACAGAATGTTGGTTCTCTGTTTTAAAGCAAGGCTGACAACTAAACTTTTTATGTTGGCCTATGGGAATGCCAGTTTTTCAGCCCTTCTTTGCCCATTTTCTCTCTCTTGCTACCTCTTTTCCAATACTAAAAATGACCTGACACCTTTTAGCTTTCCTCCTTTACAGATCTCTTGTTTTGTGTGTTCCAGGTTTCTGTTCGTTTGATCACCTTTCTTCTCTAATTATTTACTGCTAGTATTTCTTTTCCCATTTTTATATTTCTTTTTGTGTGTATTTTGTATTATTAGTGGCCTTTATAAAGATCAGCTTCTGCAGCTGCAGAAACCAAAGATCTAGATTAATTGAGAGACAGCAGGAAAGTCCCCTTAACTTGCCTGGTTGTGGAAATTTTTCCAGTGCTTCTTGGATCTGTACTTTCTGTTTGACTGGGGCAAATCTAGAGTCTGTAGTTTGAAAATGTTGCACTCAAGCAATATATTAATCTTGTTAATATATGTTTTTATATGAGCTATATGTTTGTGTGTTTTGTTTTCTTATCCTGCTGAGCTTAGGCTTATGAAGAAGCTCAGAAGCGCCTGAAGATGGCAGAAGAGGACAAGAAATTCATGGTAAGAGCTTTTCTTTCCTTTTTCACTACAAATTTTCTAGTTCACACAATAGTTCTAGGTGTTCCAACTAGTTATCCTTTTCTCCTCTGATTTTTTCCCTCTGTCCATTGAACACTGAAGAGTGTGTGTACAAGGGCATCTGACGTATTCATTTAAAACAATAAATAGAGCTTTTCAAAAAAAGTATAAAAGCTCACAACATTTTTTAAAAATTTACCTGCATGCGCATATCTCTTCACAGTGCAACTTGACTGGTTGAGCAACTTTCACAGAATAACTTGACTGCCCCAATTAAAGGGAAATATTACTTAAGGGAAATATTGCTACTTCTTTGGAGAGTGTTTTAAATATCTTTCTGATCAATAAAAGCCCAGTTCAGACTAGGAATCAGGAAAAGAACCTCAAAGACTGTGCTATTTTGCCTCATTTCAGTGACCCCATATTTTCTTTTCTTGCCTGGAAGGTTCCAGAACTGCGTAAGAAGTCCCGCCGAGAGTATTTGGCCAAACGGGAAAAGGACAAGATTGAAGACTTAGAGGCAGAGATCGCAGATGAAGAGTATCTTTTCTCTGAAATGGAACTGACAGCCCTTGAGCGGCAGGAGTTGGAATATAAACGCAAAGTGCGTGACTTGGCGAAGCAGTACAAGCAGGCTGGAGAGCAGGAGAAGATGGAGAAGAGCAATCGCTACTATATGCCTGAGGAAAGTCGCAGCAAGGTAATGATTGAATGCACAGGAAAATCAGGGACTTAGTCCCTTCTTAGAAATAACTGATTCGTGAAATTTATAGATTGCATGTATAATGCCTTTGGCCCATCCCACATGGTCTCCATTTAAAGTAGGAACTGAACATCTTTCAGTTTGGATGCCAACATCCATTGGGGAAGCTGTCGGGCTGCATTCCAGTGGAAGGTAGTGCCAATCAAAGGGGACAGGCCCAAAATACCAGCATATTTTAACTTAAAACTCTTACTGGCTGAAGCTAAACCTTAGGAGAGCCATTTTAGCAAGAGGAGAAATGCACAAAACTGAGAAACTACCAAATGATCAGAGATAGAGGAAGGGGAGCAGGGCCATCTGGGGACCCTGGAGGGCTGGATTTAGTTTATTTCCACAGGCTTAACATTTAGTTGAGATAATTTAGAAACATTTAGGTATATAGCCCATTAACCTGAGCAAGGTTTGGTTCTGAATAAAATATTCCTCAGACTGGGCTATTTATGTATTCAATTTATATGTCACCCCATTAGCCACAGGCTTTCTGGGTTGCTTACGTTATGTTAAAATCCAGAACAACATAAAACAACACAAAGCACAATGTAACACAACTACTAGGACCAATCATAAAATCTGTGAATAAGTTAACAGAATTAAATAGAACCAAAATAGAGAAAATAGAATAAATTCTCCTCTCTCTCTCCCTCCCCCCTTCTCCCTCCCTCTCCCTTTTTCCTTCCCAAAAAATTAGAACATGAACCATTTAAAATAGTAAATATCTCACATTTGAAAATGATGTCACATTGGCAGCAGCATAAAACAAGATAATTTTTTAAAAAATATAAAGAATTAACCTATTAAAGTCACTCTTAAGTCTTTAGTTGGTTAGTATGTATGCACTCGAAGGCACTGAGTCACAAGATGCAAGTGCCTGACCACTTTCTGTCTGCTTTTCCCCTGCAGAAGATCCCTGACCGCTATGAGGAACCCAAGACAGAAGACCACTTGGCCCCACGGGATGAGCAGCGGCGCTGGGAGGAAGACCACATTGGGGCTGCTGCCCTCCATTTTGGTGCCCGGGATGCTGGTCAGCGCCATCCACACAAAGACTATGAATATGTCCTTGAGGAGGATGAGATGATCCAGTTTGTGAATGCTGTGCAGATGCGGGGCACAGCTCAGAACAAGGTGAGTAAAGAGAGTGCAGGTTGGGGAATGGGACATAGTGCTAAACTAGTCCTTATTTATCAGTGGTTGTGCTATACACAATAACATGCTTAGATGAATATTTACCTCCTCTAGGAAGTAAAGGAAAATGAAATTCTTATTCAGCTGGGGAGGATGCATGTTAGAAAGCATTAATGTCTCTATGCTAGTCATGCAAATTGGGAACCTCATCAAGACAGGCCCTAGTGGGGGGATGGGTGATTGGACTTTGATGATTCTGTAAAATGGGGATACTGACCAAGTAGTGTAGAGCTGACAGTGTGAGGTATGGGACTCTGTGGTTTGGGAAAGGCAGGACGCTGAGGCAGATCTTTTAAAACCATTTTCACCATGATTTCCTTTCAGTGTGCGCTGTCTTCCTCTCATATCTATGGCCTGGTGGGGGCAGTGAAATTTGCTTTATTCATTTGTCTTCCCCATGCCCCACCTGGTATAGAAATGTAATAAATATGTTGAAAGAGGCTCAGGGTGAGGGGACTTATTTTATATGTGAGCAATGCAGCTACAGTATATTCAGCAAATAGTGTCATTCCCATTTTTTCCTACAGTATAGCATTTCACCTGAGCATATTTAAAAGTAAGAGCTCACTTATTTGGACAGGTATTTAATACTTGATATGCCTATGTGTTTTACTTAATTGTGCTTTCAAAACACTACATTAGCCTAATGTCTTTTGCCTTGAACCTCTGATAGGTCAGCATAGCAGCTTGAATACATAAGAGCCTGTGAATTACACCTGTAATGGTCATGTTCTATTTACATTCTGTAGGTTACTTTAACATAGGTGAACATAGGAAACTACCTTACATTGAATTAGACCTTTCCCAACCTGGTGCCTTCCAGATCCTGGCTGAAAGAATGTCTGTAGTTGTGGTCCAGCATATGTGGAGGGCACCAGATTGGAGAAAACGAGTCAGACTGTAGATGCAGCTCATTCAGTGTTGGTTCTCTGACTAGCAACAGCTTCTCAAAGTCTCAAGCAGAAGTCTTTTCCAGGTCTTTATCTGAAGAGTATCAGAGATCGAACCCAGAGCCTGTGCAAGTACAGCGTCCCGCTAGGGTGACTTCCCAGTTCAGCTTGTGCAACTGGGTTTCCCTGGTGCCAGGATTTAAGCTTAGTGCTCTGGAGACTCTGCCAATGGTATGTGGCTCTGGAGAAGCTATCACTTGACTCTCTCCCTGTCTCCCTTAGTCCCAGGATGAAAAGCCAGAGATGTCAGAAGCCGAGCGCAAGAAGCTGTCCATCCAGGAAGTGCGCCATAGCTTGCCCATTTTCCCCTACCGTGCAGACTTGCTGGCTGCCATTGCTGAACACCAGACACTCATCATTGAAGGGGAGACTGGCTCTGGCAAGACCACTCAGATCCCTCAGTACTTGTTTGAAGAGGTAACTTGGCAGGGAATGGGGGGCATGGTAGTTGTGGTAGGTGGAAGACTGTGGTGATCCACCAGCACTGGGACTTGCTTGAGGGAACGTACTCTTGGCAGTCCCCGTGAAGACCGTGTGTTGTTGGAGTGCTCTGCTGGAATCGCTTGTACTTTTTCCTCTGTGATAATTGAGCGTGTTATGCTGGCATGTGGCCTGCATCTGGCTTCTTGTTCCTCCTTCAAACTCATCAAGACTTTCTCGTTGGCCCTCTGAGCCTCTTCCTCGGCCGCAGCCTTGATACTTTTGTCCACCAGTGTGCTCTGTGCTCATTGACCACCAGTGTGCTCACCACTGTGCTCATTGACCCTGTATGCAGTTCCATATGGAAACCCATCAGCTAGGACTGATTTGGGAGGTGGGGGGCATGCCATTCGTTTGGACCTAGAAACAAGCAGAGGAAACTCTCTGTTGTTAAGGGATGCTCTTTAAAAGGCAGTTCGATTTAAGTGTGCTTGAATTATTTTATTACAGAGCTGGGCTTTTTGAATAGCAATTGCAATTGAGGCTCTTTTGGAAATGAGACTTCCTGATTTTCATGCCTGAAGAAAAGTGAGGCCTGTTCTGATACACAGATTTGGTATCTGTGAGAACTAGAAATTTACATGAATTTGCTGGCAGGATGAAGATTTTTTAAGCAGATAAATGGACATACATGACATGTAATCATGCACAAAACCCAAAGATGTTGACTGTAAGAAAAATTCCAAAATGCATATTAGGATCACGAAAAAACTCCAGAAATCACAAAGCTTTTATTTATTTATAAAATTTGTATGCTGTCCATTACTTGCATCTCTGGACGGCTTACAACATAGATCAAAATAAAATAGATAAATTGACAATTCCACTCTGGCTGCAATTAATACAATACAAACAATAAAATCCAATCCCTATCTAAACATATTAAAATATTGATTAAATAAAAAGGTCTTGACCTGGCACCGAAAAACATATAATGAAGGCACCAGGTGAACCTCTCTGGGGAGCACATAATTCCCTGTTGTGTTTCCTTGGGGTTCAGATCTTCTGTTCTGTTCATGGCTTTGGGGAAATTTTTCCTGTGTGTTCAGTTTAAGTTTGGCTATTTCTCTTGCAGAGTCAAACTATTTAGTTTTCTAGTCTACTTCCTTGTCACAAGACTCTTTAGTGTCCTTTCTGCCACTCTCCCTAGTACATTTAGGTTTTCCTGTTTCATGCAATTCTTGTTTAAGTTGTCTGGCTTGTTTGTCCATGATTTCTCTTTCCAAGGATCTTACTGCACCAAAAAGCTCTACATAAGGTACAACTTTTGAGTCATTGCCAGAGCCTACACCTCTAATTTTGAAGGAAGTTAACAAGTCTCCATTCCAACAACCTCTAAAGAACTGTTCCTGCACATACAAATTAAATTCTCCTTCAGTAATCTCCTTTTCTTTAACTATATCCATAACTAAAGCATGCAGTTGGTTTAAGTAACGAAGGAAGCTCCTTGATATGCTGAGTCTCAAAAAATTTCCCTTTAGCTCAGAAACTGGGACAATATTGCCAAATGCCATCTCTAGAATTTTAAAGCATTCCTTAGCAGTAGCTCTCCTCCCTGCTTCTAAAGCTACATGCGGGGCAGGTGGAAGCAAACTTTCTATTATTTTCCTCTGCTTTTACATTTTCTGGCATTTTATCATCTCAGGTGTGATATTACAAAAAGCAGGCAGGGGTTGGGGAGGGAGGGACAGAAACTAACGTTCTTGCAGTCTGCCTGATCAAACTAAGCAATATGAATTGGAGGGGGAGAAATTTTATATATTCAAACTAGACTGCGAAAAAGTAACCCCCCCCCCCCCCCCCGGGTTAACTCTGGAGTGAGCAGCATAGGATTGCAGTCAGGGAGAAGCAGTAGAATGCATACTAAAGGCAATTCATGTTAAATGAAATTTGTTGTTAGTCATGAAGTTGTGTCCGACCCATCACGACCCCATGGACAACATTCCTCCAGGCCTTCCTGTCCTCCACCATCTCCCAGAGTCCACTTAAGCTCACACCAACTGCTTCAGGGACTCCATCTAGCCACCTCATCCTCTGCCGTCCCCTTCTTCTTTTGCCATCTATTGTTCCCAGCATTAGGCTCTTCTCCAGGGAGTTCTTCCTTCTCATTAGGTGGCCAAAGTATTTGAGTTTCATCTTCAGTATCTGGCCTTCTAAAGACCAGTCAGGGTTGATCTCCTCTAGGACTGACCGGTTTGATTGCCTTTCTGTCCAAGGGACTTGCAGGAGTCTCTGTCAGCACCACAATTCAAAGGCCTCAATTCTTCGGTGCTCAGCCTTCCTTATGGTCCAACTTTCACAGCCATACATTGCAACTGGGAAAACCATAGCCTTGACTATACACACTTTTGTTGGCAGGGTGATTTCTTCGCTTTTTAGTATGCTGTCTAGATTTGTCATAGCTTTCCTCCCAAGGAGCAAGCGTCTTTTAATTTCTTGGCTGCAGTCCCCATCTGCGGTGCTCTTGGAGCTCAGGAAAATAAAATCTGTCACCTCCTGCATTTCTTCCCCATCTATTTGCCAGGAAGTGAGAGGACTGGATGCCATGATCTTAGTTTTCTTAATGTTGAGTTTCAAGCTAACTTTTGTGCTCTCCTCCTTCACCCGCATCAAGAGGCTCTTTAGTTCCTCTTCACTTTCTGCCATGACAGTGGCATCATCTGCATATCTGAGGTTGTTGATATTTCTCCCAGCAGTCTTAATTCCAACTTGTGATTCATCTAGCCCCACCTTTCTCATGATGTGCTCTGCATATAAGGTAAATGGGTAGGGCGACAGTATACAGCCTTGCCGAACACCTTTCTCAATTTTGAACCAATCAGTGGTTCCGTGTCCAGTTCTCACTGTTGCTTCTTGACCTGCATATAGGTTTTTCAAAAGACAAATAAGATGGCCTGGTACTCCCATCTCTTTAAGAATTTGCACAATATGTTGTGATCCACACAGTCAAAGGCTTTAGCATAGTCAGTGAAGCAGAAGTAGATGTTTTTCTGGAACTCCCTAGATTTCTCCATGATCCGGCGTATGTTGGCAATTTGATCTCTAGTTCCTCTGCCTCTTCAAAATCCTGCCTATACTTCTGGTAGTTCTCAGTCCACATACTGCTGGAGCCTAGCTTGTAGGATTTTGAGCATAACTTTGCTAGCATGTGAAATAAGTGCAATGGTGCGGTAGTTTGAACATTCTTTGGCATTGCCCTTCTTTGGAATTGGAATGTAAACTGACCTTTTCCAATCCTGTGGCCACTGTTGAGTTTTCCAAATTTGCTGGCATATTGTGTGTAGCACTTTTACTGCATCACCTTTTTGAATAGCTCAGCTGGAATACCGTCTCCTCCACTAGCTTTTTCGTTGCTCAGACTTCCTAAGGCCCATTTGACTTCACATTCCAGGATGTCTGGCTCGAGGTCAGTGACCACCCCATCGGGGACGGTAAGCTTTTTCCTGTATAGTTCTTCTGTGTAGTCTTGCCACCTCTTCTTAATCTCTTCTGCCTCTGTTAGGTCCCTGCCATTTTGGTCCTTTATCATGCTGATCTTTGCATGAAATGTTTCCTTCATATCTCCAATTTTCTTGAAGGGATCTCTGGTCCTCCCTATTCTATTGTTGTCTTCTATTTCTTTGCACTGTTCATTTGAGAAGGCATTCTTATCTCTTCTAGCTATTCACTGGAATTCTGCATTCAGTTGGGTGTATCTTTCCTTTTTTCCCTTGACTTTCGCTTCCCTTCTTTCCTCAGCTATTTGTAAAGCTTCCTCAGACAGCCATTTTGCTTTCTTGCGTTTCTTTTTCTTTGGGATGGTTTTAGTTGCTTCCTCTTGTACAATGTTGCAAACCTATAGTTCTTCAAGCACTCTGTCTATCGGATCTAATTCCTTAAATCTATTTGTCACCTCTACTATATATTCATCAGGGATATGATTTAGGTCATACCTGAGTGGCCTAGTGCTTTTCCCTACCTGCTTCAATTTAAGTCTAAATTTTGCAATGAGAAGTTCATGATCTGAGCCACAGTCAGCTCCTGGTCTTGTTTTTAGTGACTGTATGGAGCTGCTCCATCTTTGGCTGCAGAGCACATAGTCAATCTGATTTCTGTGTTGACCTTCTGGTGATGTCCATGTATAGAGTCGTCTCTTGGGTTGTTAGAAAAGAGTGTTTGCTATGACCATCGTATTCTCTTGACAAAATTCTACCAGCCTGTGCCCCACTTCATTTTGTACTCCAAGGCCAAACTTGCCTTTTATTCCGGTTATCTTTTGGCTTCCTACTTTAGCATTCCAATCCCCCATGATGATAAGGACATCATTTTTTTGGTGTTAATTCTAGAAGGTGTTGTAGGCCTTCATAGACCTGGTCAACTTCAGCCTTTTCAGCACCAGTGGTTGGGGCATAGACTTGGACTCCTGTGATGTTGAATGGTTTGCCTTGGATTCGAACTGAGATCATTCTGTCATTTTGGAGATTGTATCCCAGTACTGCTTTTCCTACTCTTTTATTGACTATAAGGGCTACTCCATTTCTTCTGAGGGATTCTTGCCCGCAGTAGTACACCTGATAGTCATCTGAATTAAACTCACCCATTCCTGTCCATTTTAGTTCACTGATTCCTAAAATGTCAATGTTCAGTCTTGTCATCTCTTGTTTGACCACGTCCAGCTTGCCTTGATTCATGGATCTTACATTCCAGGTTCCTATGGAGTATAGATCTTTACAGCATTGGACTCTCCTTTCACCACCAGATACATCCACAACTGAGTGTCCTTTCGGCTTTGATCCAGTCACTTCATTCTTTCTGGTGCTACTAGTACTAGCCCTCTGCTCTTCCCCAGTAGCATTGGACACCTTCCGACCTGAGGGGCTCATCCTCCAGCGTCACATCTTTTTGCCTTTTGGTACTGTCCATGGGGTTTTCATGGCAAAGATACTGGAGTGGGTTGCCATTTCCTTCTCCAGTGGATTTCGTTTTGTCAGAGCTCTCTGCTATGACCTGTCCGTCTTGGGTGGCCCTGTATGGCATAACTCATAGCTTCATTGAGCTACACAAGCCCCTTCGCCACAGCAAGGCAGTGGTCCATGAAGGGGTAAATGAAATAGTTTGCATCAATTTGTGTGCCAGTCTCTGGTTTGAAAAATCAGGCAAGGCAGGAAGACCAAGAGAGGGAGGGTGTGGGGAATTTCACCTCAAGATGGTCCTTCCTGGCTTGAGTGCAAGTCATGTCTCCTGGTGATTCGAGGTCTCGGCCAGTTTCTGAGGAGCAAGTGTTTGTGTAGATTATTTGTTTTATTTAATGTATTTATTACATTTCTATTCTGCTTAACAGCTGACATTCTCTGTGTGGTTTGTTCTTTGGATTTTCTTTGCAATCATGAAGCCTAGATACATCCTTTGAACAGGAGAGTCAAACTAGAGCAATTATGTACCATGTACCATGTTATAGAGTGGATAGATGCACAGAATCCTGATTACCCCTTGAAATTCCTTATGATGCTTTCCCCTTGCTTGGGCCCCAGGTATGAACCTTGGTCTCTTGCCTTCTGTTATTTCAGTTGAATAAAGGATTTCTCATGGTTTCAGTTCCTGAACTGTTGAGTGAGGTTGTGTTTAATTCATTTCTCTCTTCCTCATGGCAATAGCATTTCAGCACCTGGACCAGGCTATGCAGGGCATATGTGTAACTATTTGCTAAGTGCTGAGAACTGGAATCATGGCTGTTTTTTCTGTTCCCAACAGGGCTACACTCAGAAAGGAATGAAGATTGGCTGCACTCAGCCCAGGCGAGTGGCAGCAATGAGTGTTGCTGCCCGTGTTTCCCAGGAAATGGGTGTCAAGCTTGGAAATGAAGTATGTGCTTCTGGGTACATGTCCCACCCTCAGTTGTCTCAGTCAGCCATTTGTCCTTGATCTAATTTCACAATGCCCAGTAATCCTTCGAAGTAGCAAAGTACTGTTTGAGTTAAGGATGTTTTTGTCATGCTTTACACTTGAACCTGGGAAGGTTCCTTTCTTCCCTTTTGAGAAACTGAGGAAGGGAGCTTAAGCTAGCTAGGAAGCAACCAGATTGTGTTGCTGGGGCCTGCTTCCCTTGCTCCACTGTTCACCACCGTCTGGCTTTACTCTTTTGTGCTGGTTTTCAGCTCATTTGCCAATTAGATCTCCTCCTGAGGCTTTATGTACACTGTTAGAGAGGTGCTTACAGTGTTGGACTGGCAACTTGGAGATCTGGGTTCTGGTTTCTTTCCTAGCATGAACCTCACTGTGTCACTTTGGGCCAGTCACAGACACTCAGCCCAAGCTATCTCACAAGGTGGCTGTTGTGAGGATAAAATGGAACTCTGTAAGCCACCTTGGCTTTCTCACAAGAGGAAGATAAGGTGGCATTTATAAATTTGTGGTGATGGTGCTGATGCCGATGCAGGGATGTGGAATTTGTTTCGGCCTGAGGGCTGGATTTCATTTTGGAGAAGCTTCCCTAGACCACCTTTCAGTGGTGGGCAGGTCTAAAGGAGTGGGGGCAAAGTACCAGCCTATTTTAGCTTAAAGATCGTAGGGCATTGTCCTGTGCAGGTTTAAAAAGAAAAAAGTTTTACAACTTGCAGCTCCTAGCTGGGAAAGGCTGAATGTAGGACTAATTTCTGTCTAAATACACATAGGATTATGCACTTAATACCAGTAATTAAGCCCTAGGGGGATTGTGCCCTTTCAGAATGGGGGTAAAATTCAGCCAAGAAACCTATTAAAAGTTGTTGCTCGGGGCAATTTGAGGAGCTCCTGCCAGCCAGATTAGGAATTGGGGCTTTAGGATTCTCACATCTGGTTGCAGCTTCTTGCATTTTCCGGAAGAAATTGGAAAGCGCCCCCATGCTGGTGGGGGCTTTTGTCACTTTTGTGGCTCCTTTAATGGATGACCTTGGCATGAGCTGAGTGACCGTCTTACTGAGATATTGCTTTGCGTGTAATCACGATGGCTTTGTGGTAACCTGCATGTAAAACCCACTCTACCCACAGGTGGGCTATAGCATCCGTTTTGAGGACTGCACATCTGAGCGTACAGTGCTAAAGTACATGACGGATGGGATGTTACTGAGAGAATTCCTGACAGAACCTGACTTAAACAGCTACAGGTGAGCTGCAGCACTGAACTCTCCATTAGCTTAGTAGGTGCATTCTTTTGGTATTTGAGCTAGCCTGAATTGCACACTTAAAGGGGGGATTTTGCTTTGCCATCAGTGGACTGAAGAATTCAAAGCACACAGTGCACACAACGCATCTTGTAGCTCTTAAACCTAATGCTAAGCAAGTGATACTTTGGCACCGCAGTGATAGAACACTCACAGCAATATATGCTTATTTGGTCTGCCATTTTTGAAGCTTGTGCATAGCTTCTTCTATTGACAGTTGTATTTTCATATGTAGGTATGCATTTGAATGGTTTATTCCAACTGATATAAGAATATTGTATTTTTCTTTTTATGGTTTTTGTTTTGCTTTATTGAAATACAAGGTAAAAACAATATAAAGTTTTATAGGTAAGCAAAATTCTAAAAACAGTTTCCTAGTCCTAATGTTTGTGAAGAGAAACAGATAAGAATTTCTTCTAGGAACTAAAGGAGCAATGGAGTAGAACTTTTCAGGGGTGATTGGGGGAAAAGCCATCACTCAGGATAGCATCCCTGCCTTTTGCTCTGATGTCCTCCACTCATTCCTATCGGTACTGTCTTCTTATCAAGCTGTAAAAGTAAACCTTCCTGAATTCCACAGAGCAATACAAAATTTTTAGTTGTGTTATATAGTTACTGATGATAGAAAGTTTGTAGGGATCACAGGTGCTCTCTCTTTATGCTAAGGCTCATCAGTGCAAGAGGCAAGCCAGTCTTGAACAAGACACAGGGACAGAATAAACTGCCCTGCTAGATACAGGCAGAGTAAGGGCTTGGCATTGGCATCATTTAAAGAGTGCAGGCCAGAACAGGGAATGGCATTCTTTGGGAACAAAGTCCCTAAAGTACCAGGGATTGACAATGCCGGTGCTGCGGCATGGTGCCATGCTGTATTCTATAGAATAGGACACTTGCCATATGTGTGGAGGAGCAAGTGTTAAGACCTGCCTCTATTGAGGACTGATTATATAGCCCCAGGCAGGTCGTAGCTTGCCTCGGGACAACCATCCCTGCAATGAGTAAAGGTGCTGCACGAGTCATAACCTCCTTGCCTGTCGTCCTAGTGTCATCATCATAGACGAAGCTCACGAGCGCACGCTACACACAGACATCCTCTTCGGGCTGATCAAGGATATTGCTCGCTTCCGGCCTGAGCTGAAGGTGCTGATTGCCAGTGCCACCCTGGACACAGAGCGTTTCTCCACCTTCTTTGACGATGCGCCCATCTTCCGCATTCCTGGGCGCCGGTTCCCTGTCGACATCTACTACACCAAGGTCAGCAGGCAGGGAAGGAGGGCTGTGGTGTAGATGGATGTGACAATCACTGGGGAAGCTAAACCAGGTAGGGGATCTGCAACCCGTCTGGGAGACCTGTGCCCATAAGAATAGTACACCTTAAGAGCAGGACACTCTTTTTCCCCAAAAGTTTCCCAGAATGCAAGTTTCTATGAAGTACACATGCGGATGCTTGCATTGAAAACTTGTATTGCATTTCTTCCAGTTGCAACTTGGTTTTGCCATGTGTAGGCTCATTTTATCCCACCCATTATAGGGAAATGTCACCTTGTGGTAGTTGCTTTTCCTGTAAACATTAATGATCCGAATTCACTCATGTTGCGCCTTCCTTTGAACACTGTTGTTCCCCTGTCCGTCCTAGGGTATGGGACTCAGTACAGCAGGGATAGAAGCTTGCTGTATGTGGTGATGGAAACCATCACTGATGGGCGCAAATTTCACTAGGCAAGTAAATTCTGAGCTGGAAAAATAGATTGTGGGCAGGCTGTGTTCTACAGGGTGGGAGGAATATCGAGACATCTTGGTGTCAGAATAAACGGCAGACAGAAGTGACAGTAGGGCTTCAAACAATGATCTGATGCAGAGCGAAGGGAAAAAGTAGCCTGTGGAGGAGGCACCTGCTGTGTGGTCACTAGCAGGAAAGCTGAAAAGGTGAATGTGCTGGGCTGATGGTGGGCTTTCCTCAGATAAGTCAGTAGGGGAGAGTATGATTGTTGTCCCTCTGACCCTTGCTTTTTAGGCCCCAGAGGCTGATTACCTGGAGGCCTGTGTCGTCTCAGTGCTGCAGATCCATGTTACTCAGCCCCAAGGGGACATCCTTGTTTTCCTCACTGGCCAGGTAGGTCATCATGTGCTTCCCTGACCCTGCTTTGGCTTATACTTTGCAACGAATAGCTAAGCCCAGTTCCCGCTTTCTTTGGCAGGAAGAAATTGAAGCCTGCTGTGAGATGCTGCAGGATCGCTGCCGTCGCCTGGGATCCAAAATTGCTGAACTTTTGGTCCTTCCAATCTATGCTAACCTGCCCTCTGACATGCAGGCCAAGATCTTTGAGCCAACCCCACCAGGGGCCAGGAAGGTAGGAAATACTTTCATTCTGCCCAAATAGAAAGGATGTCAGAGCTCTGCCTGTTTGTATGTCTGTTGGGAGCATTTGGTGAAGGAGGAATGGTGTTGGTAGTGGTGATTTTTGTACCTTCCGTTTGATTTGCACCATATATACATTCATAACTTTGGTTACAATCTGATAATGCCTGATATAAACTTGTGTAATTGAGATAGCTGCTGAGTATTAGCCTTTTGTCTGTATTTGTGTTTGGGAGGATATGCTCCCAGCCATCAGCAGTGCAATGCCTGGGGGCTGTTCTTTCCAGTGGGGTTATGTGAGGGTGTGCTTCAGATTCCCAGGTTGTTGGTTGTAAGAGAGTGTATACAGGACATAAATGGTCTTACCCTGAGTCAGATCATTGGCCCATCTAGTATTGCTCAGTCTGGGCAAGAAATGGAGTTGCTCTGGCCCACACAACCCTGTCATTCAGTCTGCAGAGGCTTTTGTCCCCTCCGTGGGCCTTGCCCCCGTGTTCTTGATGGCCAAGTGTTGGGACAGGGGCCTTTCCCATCCCTGTTAGGCAAGTTCTTTGTTAACCACAGAAGCCAGGATTGCAACAGATTCTGTCTTCATCAGAGCCTGAGTTCTGTCACTGAGTTTCAGCCCTTCTTGCAGTGTGGCTGAAACAGCTGACCCCACTGGATCACTAATGCCTCACTCGTTCCTTCTCCAGGTTGTTGTGGCCACAAACATTGCAGAGACATCTTTGACAATAGACGGCATCATTTATGTGATTGACCCTGGCTTTTGCAAGCAGAAGAGCTACAACGCACGCACAGGCATGGAGTCACTTATTGTCACTCCCTGCTCTCGGGTACCTGCCTTTCAATACTTATCTTCACCACATTCCTCCCTCCCGCCCCACTAGCCTCTTTGTATTTGTCCCCAGTGTTCAGGTGCTACGCAGTTCAGTTGACTTGCAGTTCTCATTTAATCTGGCGGTTCTTTTATTCATCTTGGTTTTATACATTGGCAAAAAAACAACCTATTGAATTTGGCATGAAGTCTAGGCTGCTAGCTATGAAATACCAAGGGATGCATGAAGAGTGGAGTGTCAACTCTATAAACATGTTATGTAGCATCACTTAGGGATTTCTAAGCAGTGATTCAGCAGTTTGCAAGATTGTAATTTGGTTTGGGGAGATAAAGACTTGCATGTAGCAGTGGCACTGAAACTAAAAATGGTAGCCAGAGCATGGTATAGACCAGTGATGGCAAACCTTTTAGAGACCAAGTGCTCAAATTGCAACACAAAACCCACTTATTTGTCGCAAAGTGCCAACGCTGCAATGAAATCTAGAAACTGAGGTTATAGTTTCGAAAAAAACACCTTACAGCCAGTCCAAACATATATAAATCCATCGTAGCGCACTGAACACCCATGTGAAGGCTTGGACAAGAAATGACTAATGAGTCATGGCTCGTGACATCATCACATGGTGCCGCAACTTATCTCCGAACATGCGCATGGCCCGTATGTACCGTTATCTGATGCACGGCTGCTGGGGTGATACTGGGGTGACTTGACTTGAATGCTGGCAGAGAAGGCTCTGCTTCCTCCTGTGGCACGCATGCTATAGGTTCACCACCATTGCCCTAACCGTGCCCTAGTATTAGGTCCCCTAATCTTAATATATGCGTAAAATGCCATAGAAAAGAGGACGATTTTGAAAAAGCCTTCCTTGAGTAGATTTTTCTGCACAGCTTGTCATTTCTGCCCATTCTATTCACATTCGCACCATCAAAACCATGCCAGGAGTCCTAGTTTTGCTAACCCTAACCCTACCCTGGTGCACACCCCTAACCCTAATATACTGGTAATGTTCCATTGAAAGTAGTGCGATTTTGAAAAAGCCTTCCTTGAGTAGCTCTTATTGCCCAACTCACTATTTCTGCCCATTCTAAACACGTTCCAACTATCAAAACCAGGCCAGGAATCTTACTTTCGCTAACACTAACCCTACCCTGGTGCTCACCCCTTTTCCTAATATTCTGTTAAAGTTCTATTGAAAATAGTGTGATTTTCAAAAAGCGTTCCCAGAGTAGGTTTTTCTGCACAGCTCACCATTGCTGCCCATTCTATTCACATTCTGACCATCAAAACCATGCCAGGAGTCCTACTTTTGCTAACCCTAACCCTACCCTGGTGCACACCCCTAACCCTAATATACTGGTAATGTTCCATTGATAATAGTGTGATTTTGAAAAAGTGTTCCCAGAGTACCATTTTCGGCACAACTCACCATTTCTGCCCATTCTATTCCCTTTCCAACCATCAAACGCCTGCTAGGAGTCCTAGTTTTTCTAACCCTAACCCTACCGTGGTGCACACCCCCAATCCTAATATCCTGGTAAACCTCCACTGAAAATAGTGTGATTTAAAAAAAAAAACCTTCCTTGAGTAGATTTTTCTGCACAGCTTGTCATTTCTGCCCATTCTATTCACATTCGCACCATCAAAACCATGCCAGGAGTCCTAATTTTGCTAAACCTAACCCTACTCTGGTGCACACCCCTAACCCTAACATTCTGTTCAAGTTCTATTGAAAATAGTGTGATTTTCAAAAAGCGTTCCCGGAGTAGGTTTTTCTGCACAGCTCACCATTTCTGCCCATTCTATTCACATTACCACCATCAAAACCATGCCAGCAGTCCTAGTTTTGCTAACCCTAACCCTAACCTGGTGCACACCCCCAGTCCTAATATCCCAGTAAACCTCCATTGAAAATAGTGTGATTTTGAAAAAGCCTTCCTTTAGTAGCTTTTTCTTCACAGCTCATCATTTCTGCCCATTCTATCCCCTTTCCAACCGTCAGAACCATGCCAGGAGTCCTAATTTTGCTAAGACTAATCCTATTTATAAATTATAGTTAGCCGCCCCGAGACTTCGGCGAATGGGGCAGCATAGAAGCTTTCTAAATCAATCAATCAGTAAACCCTAACATACTGCTAAGGTTCCTTTGATAATAGTGCAATTTTGAAAAAGTGTTCCCAGAGTAGCTTTTTCCACACACCTCACCATTTCTGCCCTTTCTATACACAGTCCAACTATCAAAACCATGCCAGGAGTCCTAGTTTTTCTAACCCTAACCCTACACTGGTGCACACCCCTGACCCCTATCTCTAAAGAACTGCAAAATTACCTTGAAAACAGGGCGATTTTAAAAAAGCCTTTCTGGAGTAGCTTTTTCTGTACAGCTCATCATTTTGGCCCATTCTATTTCCTTTCCAAACTTCAAAACCATGCCAGGAGTCCAAACTTCAAAACCATGCCAGGAGTCAAAACCATGCTAGTTTTCCCAACCCTAACCCTACCCTGGTGCACACACCCCTAACTCCTATCTCTAAAGAAGTGCAAAATTCCCTTGACAACAGGGCAATTTTAAAAAAAGTCTTGCTTGAGTAGATTTTTCTGCACAGCTCATCATTTCTGCCTATTCTAAACACTGTCCAACCATCAAAACCATGGCAGGACACTTGCTTTTTCTTACCCTAACCCTGTGATGGTGACCATTTTAGAGGCCGAGTGCCAAAAGTGCACTCCATATTCCACTTATTTATCGCGAAGTGACAAAACTGCAGTAGAACCTGAAAACTTACTTTTTAGTTTAGAAATAGCAACTCACCGCCTATCTAGGTAAATATATTTATATCCTTGGTAGCGCACTGAACGCTCATGCGACCGCTCAGGCAAATTTGTTTGCATGCCTACAGAGAGGGCTCTCCATGTCCTGTGTGGCACGTGTGCCATTGGTTCACCACCAGTGGTATAGACCCTGTGTCAGTTGGCTTGGAAGCCGGAGTAGTGTATAGTTTAGCTTAGAGCACAGTCAGGCCAGAGTTAATGATAGAAGGCAAACTTAAGTAACATTCTGTTGCTTATTCCCTTGATCAACATTTTGTGATCATTTTAGTAAGGGTATTGCAACACTGCATGCTGGGAAACATTTCAAAAGGCCCATGTTTGGGGATGTGGTTTCCACCTAAAAAACAAGTTTCTGGACGTCATTGATTAGAAGAACACTTCCAGACCATGGCAGATGTGGTATTTATTTGTACCTGAGCATTCAGTGCCCCCCCCATACATTTCCAGTTCTGCCTTTGCCACAGTCATAAGGGCCACAAGTGTGTTCTTTCACTAACTTAAAACAAGTGCATGCTAAACTTGTACCGTGTTACATATTTCGCCATGTTATGCTTGTCCTTGAAATCAAAACTGCATCCCTTCTTAGAATCTAATGAGATGAAATCCCCCAGTGTTGTCTTCCCGTCATTTCTCACCCACAGGAAATGTGTTCTCTGTCATGCTCTTCTCTCCTTCCCTTAGGCTTCTGCCAACCAGCGAGCAGGGCGGGCCGGCCGTGTGGCTGCAGGGAAGTGCTTCCGTCTGTACACTGCCTGGGCCTACAAGAATGAGATGGAAGAAACCACAGTGCCAGAGATTCAAAGGACCAACCTGGGCAATGTGGTACTGCTTCTCAAAAGCTTAGGTACGCAGACCAGCAAGCCACGATGGAAGGGAGTATGGAGATGGCACACTTTTTAAGGCTTCTCTGAATGGGAGCAGGAGTTATTTCTTAATAGCAAGAAGAGAATTTCTAGGGTCCTGAGGATTTTTTTTTCATGTTTAAGTTATGAAGAAGATACACTTTCTGGTGGTGGAAATACTTCATAGTTTTGAGTCTTTGTAAGAAGGGAAGATTGCTATGTGTTTTCCTTAACTTGTTTACCTTCATCTTTTCCCTTAGGCATCAATGACCTAATCCACTTTGACTTCATGGACCCGCCTCCCCATGAGACTCTAGTTTTGGCATTGGAGCAGCTCTATGCCCTGGGAGCCCTCAATCATCTTGGTGAGCTCACCAAGGTATGGTTACTTAGTTTCAAGACTGTTTTGTCAGGCTTGATCATCCACCTGACCACTCTCCATCGGTGGGAATAGCACTGGATCTTCGGTCTGCTGGATCTTCAAAACATCCAATTGTTCCTTAGTTTGAGGCTCTGTGGATATGGAAGATTTCTGTAGCAATGATAGAGGTAGGAGGGGAGCTGCTATTTCCCCAACTCCAGATTGATTGACTATGGCCTTTCAGTCGAGTGCTAATTCTTTGAAAACACGGTGTTGGACTTTGACTGGGGAGGTCTCTGTTCACTGTCAAGCCACACAAACTGGCTGGGTGACTCTGGGCCCCTCATTATTATTAATTTTATTCCATTACATTTATACACCATCTTTCTTCCTCTTGCAGGGAACCCAAGGCAGCTTACAAGGTTGTTCTCTCCTTTCTGTCCTCACAACAACCCTGTGAGGTAGGTTAGGCTGAGGGTCCATGACTGTCCCAAAGTCATTCAGTGAGCTTCATGGCAGAACCTGGATCTCCTGAGTCCCAGTCCAGCACTCTGATCATTGCGCCATTCTTGCTCCCATGTTGTCATTGTGAGGGTAAACGAAGTGGGCATGTAAGACTCCTTGGGGCTGTGTCTGTGTAGGGATAAAATTGACTTATACTTCATTTCTGAAATCAACCAAAGCAGTTCAGAAGAATTTCAGAACATGTTATTATAGTTTCTAACATTAAACTTATAAAATCTTTAAACAACCTTAAAAGCTATAATAACCATAACAGCCATTTAAAGCATGAAGTTAAAAAGATGTGGCTTAAGTGCTTCTGGAATGCAGAGAGAGCAAGGACCAGTTGTAACTCCCAGGGAAGCACTTCCCAGAGTTTGGGAGCAGCACAGGAAAAAGTCCTTGTCTGCTTGCCCTGTAAGCAAGTGAGTCTTCAGTAGGGCCTCTCCTGCTGATCTTAGTAGCTAAGCAGGTTCATACAAACACAAACACTTCCTCAGATAGTCTGGCCCTAAGCTACTTAGGGCTTGAAACTAGCACCTTGATTGAGTCTTGTCAAGCAATCGGCCACCAAATGCAGATCTTTTCAGTAGTGGTGTGATCATGAGACTGAGCACCAGTTAGCAACCTATTATACAAGAATGATGCTAACCGTTTGAATGTACTTGACAAGACTCCGAGACTAGTGATGTTGGGACAAGTGGTGAAATCATTCCTCAAAACAGGGTCCTCATGGATGTGTTACTCGGATGTCTGCCTCTAGTCATTCAGCAGTTGCCACCACCTTCTATTTAAATCATGACCCCCCCCCCCCCCCACCCTATTCATGATGTGAGCATTTCAGCATGACTGAGAAGGATGTGTTTATGGGGTGTGATTGCATACCCAGCCATCAACATGGGAGACCGGCTGTGCCCTAGTGAGGACCAAAAATCTGGATGCAGTTGCCTCCCCAGCCATCCCAAAGACAGCATACTGTGTGTTGGAACCCAGGTTTTTTTGTCCTTTGAACAAGTTTGCCCATCTTGTGTTTTGAATTTAGCTGGGCCGGAAGATGGCAGAGCTGCCTGTGGATCCCATGCTATCCAAGATGATCCTGGCTTCAGAACAGTAAGTGCCTCTCTGTCTTCTCTTCATTCTCTTTCTAACCAGTTCCTTATCTGCTTGGACTTGCCCATAGGCCTTCAGTGAATCATGAGCGAAGCTTGTGACTCCTGCACTACTCTTAGTTTCTAGTCTGATCTCGCTTCCGAGGAAATTCCAAAGTTCTCAAAAATATCAATGAGCTATTATAATAACTATGCAAGTTATATAGATTTATTGAGGATGTTTAGACATAAAATATTTTTACAAGTCCCAACATTTTCTAGCCAGCATGAGATTCGTAGGTTTTTGGGGGTTTTTTTTATTTAAATGAGCATGGGAGTGCTCCCTGAGCCATTCTTATTTGCAGAATATCTTCAAAGCATACAGTGTACATTTCATTAAGAAAAATCTGAGAGAGATATTTGTCACAGAGAACATACACACCCAATGATATTTTTTTTCAATCAGGATGATAGAATATTATTATTTTTTAATAAATCAGGTTTTAAAATAAATTGGTTGTATTTGAAAATTGTATACGTTAAAAATGCTTAAATTAGGAGACTGTTAATAGCCTATTTAGTTGTAAATTAACTTGTTTTTATAGATTTGTTCAGGAAATCTGAGAAGTATTGATAGAATTTAAATCCTGGTTTAAATTGTGATTTTTAAGTTGGTCTCTCTGTCCTTCCACCGTCTCCAAACTGGCTCCCCTTGTGTTGCTATCCTAATTTCTCTGCTCCCAGGCTCACTCAAGGTACCTTTGCTGATGACTTTCCAGTAGCAGGCCGTTGACCTGGATCCAAACGGGCCCCTTTTCAATTTTGCCAAGACTAACCCTGCTTTTTGCCTTTACTGGAATGCTCTAGGTACAAATGCTCAGAGCAGATCCTCACCATCGCTGCCATGCTGTCAGTCAACAATGCCATTTTTTACCGGCCCAAGGACAAAGTGGTCCATGCTGACAATGCCCGCATGAACTTTTTCCTGCCTGGTGGAGACCACCTTGTTCTCCTCAATGTTTATAATCAGGTAAGAGAGACGCCTCTGGGGCTTGGAGATTAGAGGGCTGGAGAGGTGTAGAGTCTTATTTCAGTTAAATCCCAGACAGGCTTAGGGAAAGTGCTTGCATCAACTTGATTTGAATGGGCTGCTAAGTTTGTAGTGACATTATGCACCACACCGCCTAGGAGTGTGGTGACTCCGTAACTGGAAATGTCTGTTATAATAGACTGGTCAAATGTTTTGGGTTGAGGTGGTGGAGGAGCAAACTTCAACCTTCCAGTTGGATTGATTACATAGCCTTTGAAATCCCAACCAACCTTACATCCAAACATGTCTGTTACAGGATATCTGCTGCACAGTGTCTTTCTGATACAAAGCTGTATGTGGGAATACAGTTGGGATTTGAGGGCCTTTCCAGTGCTTGTCTTCTGGTTGGGAAGAGCTCATTAGCTGTTGAAAGGGCAAGACATTGTATTAGAGCATTTGCCTGGGAGATTCTAGCTCTAAACCAGCCTTCTCCAACCTGATGCTTTAAATCCTGTTAGCCCAAGCTAGCATGACCACTGGTCAGAAATGCTGGGAGTTGTAGCTGGAAGGGCATCAGGTTGGGGAAGGCTGTTTTAAATGTTCCATAACCCAAAGAGACTGTGGAAATGTTGGACAAATTGAGATTTTATTCTAGAGGGCCACTGTTCTTTTCCTAGTGACTAAAGGAATGAAGGCCAGTTATCGCACATGGATGTTATAATTAATTTGCCTCATGTAATTGGTGCTAGATTTTTTTCCTATATTGCTAATGATATCGGGTGACGGGGGCAGCCTGAACGGGAAAAGCATTTTCCTTAGCGTGGTCATGCAGTTGATGCTACTTAGCACTGTGACTATAGGAAGGCCAGAAAGTGGTATCCAGAGCTGGGACTTCATCTGAACTTGTCTTTTCTCTCAGTGGGTAGAAAGCGGTTATTCCATGCAGTGGTGCTATGAGAACTTCATCCAGTTCCGCTCCATGAGGCGAGCCCGGGATGTCCGAGAACAGCTAGAAGGGCTGATGGAGCGCATTGAAGTGGACATCACTTCCAGTGAGGGGGACTACATCCCCGTCCGTAAGGTGCATGCAACCCTCCCCTTTTCTCCCTCCAGTTTGGATGCAAATATGATTGGAAGATTTCTAGAGCCAGGTTTGTGTGTGCAAAAATATGCAATCCAAAGAATCCCACTTTTGTGGCTAGGATGGGAACCCTGTTGATAATATTCACTTTTTTTAGAGAATCCTATCCTCTTTTTTAAGCCCTCAGAATGGCTTCTAGATGAAAAGCACAAAAAGACTAAATATTTATGATTGGGTTCAGAGGGTGGGTTTATGCATCATGCTAAGCCATCCTGTGACTAAGCCAAAGTGAGTTGGTTGTTTGCTGAATGACCCATGGAATATTAGACAGATGGCTGGGCTTGCTGAGATTCACAGAATCATAGAAGAGATTTGTTCTCTCCTCCTTCCCACACAATCCTCCACCCATCTTGTCTCCTTGCTCCAGCCCCCTGCCTGTTCCAATTACTACCTCTTCTTGTTTAGCAGCTTTAGAAAAGATCTGAGCACTGGGAATAGTAAATGTGTCTGTAGAGCGTTTTTTCCTTGGTCTTTCACAAGTGCACAAGAGTGAAAGAAGAGTACACTAGTATTTGTTAAGATTAGTCTTGACTGGTTAACTTCCTTGTATATTGCCACTGTCAAGGGAGCAGGAAAGTGAAGTTGCTGTGGTACTAGGAAAGGGACAAGACCAAGCTGCACACAGATTAATTTATGCACAGAAGAGAGCACGGACGCTGTAGCATAATTCAGCAGCATCTCTGCCTTCCTGAGCAGCTGTGGCGTGGGGCAGGAGGAAGCTTCTAACACACATTCTCAAGTACGACTTGGGGGCAGCTGTCACTTTATAAGCCGGGCAGCTTGTTGTGTCATGTAAACTTTGTCATAGCCATACTCCTCCTTACTTAAGCTCCTCTTCTGTATGCAGTTACTGCTATTTTTAGAAGAGCTGGTTAAACCCAAGTAACCCTTAAAAAGAAACATCTCTGTAGCATAGCTGTTGTATATCCTTGTTAGTTACTTGCAGCACTTAATGCAGAATGATGGGATTAAAAAGCTAAGTAATAAATATTGTGCCTTGGCTTTCTTCTTCCTTATTGGCCAGTCTCAACACTGTTCTTTTTTTTTTTTTTTTAAGCATTTCCACCCATTATTTGTACTTTGTGCTTATGAGAGAAATGCTCAAACTCTTGAAAACTGTCATTTGGCAGCAGAAGAAATAAAATAGAAATACATGCAAATGATTTTTTTAGGCCCCAAATGACTGATGGCTTGAGAGAAAGGCAGGTTGCTTACTTGTAACTCTCGTTCTTTGAGTGGTCATCTGTGCATTCACACATATGGGTGCTGTGCCTGTGCAGCACCTGTTTTCAGGAAGATTGTCTCAGCTATAATGGTTTTTGGTGGGAACTCCGCTCCCCCTCCCCCTTGTCAGCACCCATATGTGTGATGCACAGAGACCACGATGAAGAACTAAGATACTTAAATTTTTGTGCCCAGGAAAATCAGATTCTGCATCAAAAAACTGGATTATGCCAATTCAAGAAATCTACTTCCTGTGTTTCTGCTTGTTTCTGCTTGCTATTGATAGGGGGCTATTTATGTACTGAAAGCCCACCCTTAGTCCCCAAACATTTTATTCAGTCATTTCTCTGGTCTCTTGGACTTTATTTAGACATTGCACAGATACTGTCATAGACTTAAGGGCTAGAAACTCACATATTATTCTGTATATATAATGTTGTAAGCCATCCAGAGACAACAGTAATGGACGGCATACAAATTTTTAAATAAAATAAATAAAAATATATCCTGCAGCATATCTTCAGACCTAGCATGCAAGAATTTTTAAAAAGATGATTAATCCAAGAATGTTGTTGTCGTCCTTGCTATGTGCCATCATCTTCGACCTATGGTGGTCCTATGAATGCATACCTGGCCATGACAACTCCTCCATCCAGCTCTTCCAAGTTCAAAGTCAGTGTTGCCTTTCTGGAGTCCATCCATCTCATAGTTTGTCTTCCCTTTTATCTTCTACCTTCAAGTTTCCCTAACATGATTGTCTTCTTCAGGGAGTCTTGCCTTCTCATGGTGTGTCCAAGCTATCACAGCCTCAGTTTTGTCATTTTTGCTTCTAGGGAAAACTTTGTCTTTCTGTCAGTCCAAGGTATTTGCAAAGCTCTTTTCCAGCACCATGTTTTGAACACATCAGTTTTCTTCCTGTCAGCTCTCTTCACTGTCCAGCTTTCACACCCATACATTATGATTGGGAATACAATTGAAATCTTTCACAATTTTGATTTCTTCTTTACCAACAGTAAAGTTCTGTAATATTCTGTGGACATGATTTTTATTTTCTTAATATCCAGCTGTAGCCCTGCTTTTGTGCTTTCTTCTTTCACTTTTATCAGGAGTTGTTTCAAGTCATTGCTGCTTTCTGCCAGTAGTATGGTGTTACCTGCATGTCTTAAATTAGTGGTGTTTCTTCCACCAATTTTCACTCCTCCTTCCAACTCTAATCCAGTTTTTCTTATGATCTGTTCTGTATATAGATTGAACAGATAGGAAGAGAAAATACATCCGTGTCTAACACCTTTGCCTATGGGAAACCATTCTGCTTTTCCATATTCTGACCTAGTTTCTTGTATGTGATACTGATTACACATCAAGACAACCAATTGCTGAAACATTCCCATTTCTTTCAGGGCCATCCATAGCTCCACCTAGTCAAAGGCTTTGCTGTAGTCCATGAAACATCAACTGATCTTTTTCTGAAATTCGTTGGGGTACTCCAGGAGCCAACATATATTTTCCATGTGATCTCTAGTGTCTCTTTTTGGAATCCAGTGTGGATGTCTGGCATTTCTTGCTTCATGTAATGTAGTATTCTTTGTTGCAGCGCTTTGAGCATCAGTGTGTTTGCATGGAAGATTAATGCAACGGTCCTATGCTTGCTGTGCTCTTTTGCATCTACTTTCTTGGGGACTAGAATATATATTTTGAATGTTTCTGGTCTATGGGCCATTGCTTTGTTTTCCTTTTTAGTTGGCATATTCTTGTTAGGATTTGGACTGATTCTGTAATGTAATACAGATTTTGAGAGCACTGAAAACATGATTCAGGGTGCATCCCTTCATAATGAGTGAGTATTGGTTCATTATTCCTTACACTTACGAAATGTAAGGAAATGCATGAAGCACCAACAGCACTCTGTGCATTCTGATCACTTGATGGGTCAATGTGCAGGTGGATTTGGCAGGAGGCAGGGGCCAGAGTTGGCCACAACATGGTTTCTGAATGTTCCCTTCCTTTCTGTGTCTTCAGCCTCTCCTTCTCTCCATTCACAGGCCATCACAGCTGGCTTTTTTTATCACACTGCCCGCCTAACCCGCAGTGGTTACAAGAGTGTCAAGCACCAACAAACTGTATTCGTCCATCCCAACAGTTCCCTTTTTGAAGAGCAACCACGTTGGCTCATCTATCATGAATTGGTCTTCACCACTAAAGAATTCATGAGACAGGTATGTCTTGTGGCTGTTGCATAAATAGCATGGTCTGCACTGGGTCTAACAGGGAGAATTTCCTGAATTTGGGATGGCCATGCAGCTGAGTTTGGCAGTCCTTACAGGCATTTTAGGATAAAGCCCTGGCAGCCAAGGTGAGAGGCGTGCTTAACAGGAAGGACGAGTGTTTCAATCATTCCACTGGGCTGTTCTTTCGGTGAAGAGCTGTATCTCAATCACAAAATGTATTCTGAATGCAGCAGGTTTCATGCTCATTCTCTGATACTTCTACTTAAAAAGGATTGCTGATGGCTGCCTTGGGAAAGATCTCTGCATGAGAGCTGTTGACGGTCGGTAGGTGCTTCTACAATAGATGGATCAAGGATCTTAGTACAAGGCAGCATTTCGTGCACAGACAACCTTGTATTTAATTCTGCTCAGTCTTTGCAAGATGTATAGCTAATGGCTGGGTTTACATGTCACAGCCACCTGCATCATTACCACAAGTTGCCTTTTTTCACCTCGATGTGCCTGATAGATGATCAGGCTCATGGTGGTGGGTTCCCTCCCTCCAGCCATTGCCTTCTGTCTTAGTCATCCAGGCAATATCCCAGGAGGCACTGCGAGGAGGAATGCCGCTCCTTTCTTAACAGCTGCAGTCATGAGTCTGGTTCAGCTCACTATGACTGTGAAGCAGTCTCTGCTGCATGACCAGGGCTCACGCCCCGAAGTGCAGTGGAGAGGACAAGTGAGCTGATCAGGTGCTCTTGCCTTCTGCTCTAGAGAGACCCGCTAGTGTGAGGGTGCCTGATCTATGCTCAGGCAAAAGGGGACGATCAGGTGGGAGCACTGAGCTAAGGAGCGGTGCCATTCAGCCGATTCCTCCACTGTCCGCCCCCATGAGCTGGAGGAAGTCGCACAAATGCCAGTGGGAGGGGCAAGAATCAGCTGGGTAAAGTGGAGCTCAGTTGGTGGTAGTGGCATTGAGCCAGTTCCCCCACTGTCCCCCTCTGTTTCCACTTGCTCCCCAACCCAGTTGCCTGAGCACCTTTCTCACAAGTGGCAGTGAAGGAGGGAAGATGGTGCTCATCCCACTTTCTTGCTCGGACTTGCCAGAGAGGCCTCTTCTATCAGTTGCCTGTGGGGCCAACTTGCATACGCGTCTCTGGCAGGAAGGAGAAAGAGGGGCATTGGGCGAAGCAGCAGAGCAGTGCAGTCTCCAGCTGGTACTACTACCAGCTGATTTGTGTCCCAGCCACTCATGTGAATGAAGGACTTCTTTCTGCTGTTCATGCAGATGGGGGCCGGGGGGGGGGGCAGCAACAGGGAGTAAGCAGAGTTGCTCCTTTCTGCAGCATCACTCAGCTGATCACCCACCCCTGCCCCAGAGACCTTCAGGTCAGGAATCGGGCAGAGCAGGGACCCTTCTGACAGTCGTGCAAAATGGCAGCTGTCAACAGTGCATTCTGGGTAGCCACTTGCCAAGTGTGGCAACAGGCTGCTCTTGCTATGTAGTTATTTGATTCTGGCCTTTGTACCACAATGGGTTGTGGGTTATTTATTTAAAGTTTTTATATGCCGTCTAATACTAAAAGTCTCTGGACAGCTTACAAAAGGTTGGATGACACAAAAAACCATCATGGTACAAGGAAACCATAGAACAGACTGTGGTTTCTAAAGACAAAATGTATCATGCTGAAATTCCACAAGGTTTCGATAACACAACAAACCCAAAATGGTGAGAAACCAGCATGGCTTGTCATGTCATGCAAACCCACTCAACGTGCATTCCTAAGGATTTGCTTTCAGATCCTTAAAAACTGTCCCAATTAACCCTGTCCTGGCACTCCTGTGGACATCACTGTACTTCCTTTCTCACTCAAATCGAAAGTGCCCAGTGCTCAGGACAGTGCTGTTCTGAGTACTCTTGAGGCTGTTAGGGGCCCCTTCTCCATTGAGCAGGTGATGCTGATGGGCATATGTGTTACTGAAGCTACGGGAAATGGGCTTAGTAATGGTCTTCCGCATGGTTACATGTTTGGATCTCCTTTACTGTAGTTCAGTGACACATTAACCCTGGATACAGATCAGCCCTTTTTTACCAAAATGAGGAAAAGTGTCAGCAGTGGAAGCCAGAAGGAGCGGAGGATGACATTTGACTGCTCTATTGTAGAATCTCTCGTTTTCCGCAGGTTATAGAAATCGACAGCACATGGTTGCTGGAGGTGGCCCCTCACTACTACAAGGCCAAGGAGCTGGAAGATGCCTCTACGAAGAAGCTGCCCAAGAAAGTGGGGAAGACACGGGAGGAACTGGGATAAGACGGGAGTCTACTTTCTCCTTCCTATTAATCCCTGTGCTGCAGGAGCATCCTTGGCCTGGGACACTTTTTTTGTACATCTGTATAGTTTTGACATCACTTCAAGATACAAGATAAAAGATTTTTTACAAACTTGCATCATCCATTTTCCTTTTCTTCTTAGACAAGTCTGGCTTAGTTGTTAAAAAAAGAAAATTCTTAAGTCTCAGTGGATCTCATGCAGCCTTTTTGAATTTCAGTATGTCCAGACCCAACTAAAGTTTCCACAGTTTGGCACCACTTCATGGGCAACTTGTTCTTGCAAAATCTGCTGTGTTGACTTAGAGCAAGCTCTGTAAGAAATTGGAGGTTCTTTGTTGTTTTTACACAGATACCTAGTTGATATGTCTCTTGAGAAAGCATGATTCAGAAATATCTGTGGATAATACATTCTGAATTAGTTTTTAATAGGTAGCTGATAGAAACTTAATGCCCCCTAATGGTCTCTTTCCTAGACTCTAAATGCTTAGAAGTTACATCTCAAGAAGCAAACCTTGATGTGGCCATACTATGAGCCTTGAGTAAAGTAAAGTAGGTTGTTATGCCACAGAATAAAAATTGTTCTTAAGAGGTTAGAATGTAAAACCTTGTTCACACAATGCTAAACCCATGGTTTGGCAGAGGACTGAACAAACTGACTTGTTTTCTTAAGCCCTGGATTATTTTTCTTTCTCCATTTTCTTTATCCTACATGTATTTGTAGCATGAATACAGTAGTTCCCCAAAATTTGCGGGGGTTGCTTTCCTAAAGCACCCCGCGAATTGTGAAAAACCGCGAATTTGGTGCCGGCGACGGGCACTGGCTGGGTGGGAGGCGTGGGCTGGGGCGGGCGCATGTGGCGAGGCAGGGGCATGCAGGATCATTTTCTTCCAGCGAGTCCAAACTCAGAGGAAATGATCTCCTTGCGAGTAAGGTGCCACATGGCAAGGTGCCGGCTTACTCGCAAGGAGATTGGCTTGTACTCGCTCGGAGAAAAATTCTGCGAAAGACTGAGGCTGCAAACACTGAACTGCGACTTCATGGGGGGGTATACTGTAGTACCAACAAGCAAAGAGATGGGTTTTTAAGAACCATTCTTTCTTGTACAGCCATAGCCTGGTGAAAAACCCATGATTTTAACGGCCCAGACTTCTCAACTCAACAACAAACCATGGGTTCTCTCTCTGGTTTGTAAGTGGTTAACAAATCATGGAAGCCTTTGCACATCATGATTTCCCATAATTCAATCCATGGATAAAATATATCATTGAACAGATTATGTGCAAATCAGGTCACTGCTAGGTCTAAAGGTTACTACAGCAATTTTCTGTGGAGTTCATATTTTCCAAGTAAAAGTGATGGTGTGAAGCTTTTGCCAGGATAAGCCATCCTTCATGAAAAGTGTTTTATCCCATATAACTTGATCTTCTTATCTTGGCAAGGAGGGAAAGGGATGGCTCTGTGGCACATTATCCTTAAAGAGCCACTAAGACAACTCACAGGCAGTCCCTATGCCTTCCCTGCTGCTCCATGACTGCTTTTTGGAGAGTGAAAGACTGTCAAAATGGGGGCCAGCAGTTCATGAAGGGTGAAAAAAGTTTTATGGGCCAATTTTACATTACAGTTGACTAGTTCAGCTCAAAGTTAAGTACTTCCTTAGAGCAGCCAAGAGTATTTCCAGAGTATTGTTCATCCAGAGTATTTTCAACATAAACCTTTTATTATATACAGATTAAATTACAACCAACTTTACAGTGCTTGCCGATGCAATTCACAGCAGCAACATGAGGCAAGGCCCACACTATTTATACAAGAGGCAACATGGATGCACAAGGAGTTGCTAGTGGCATTTTCCTTGCCACACACTGTGGTGTGCCAGATGAGCAGAGAAATAGTGACAGCAGGCTGGGCTTCAGTGATCCCTACAACTCACTGGCGTTTCCTGCTGCTTGCCAGCCAAGAACAGCAGCAACGGTGGTCTCTCATCTGCTAATTCCAGGCCTAATAAGGATGCTACAACCAGCTTTTGCTGCTTGTTCAGAAGAGGCTGGGATGGCATGAGCTGAAAAGGAAAGAAAATGCAAGGTGAGTCTGGCAGTAGGTGTAAAAGTGCTTGCCTTCTTGTCAAGGCCCAAGCACGATTGGGGCAGAACTGCACAAGCATGTCCTGCTGCAGAGAACTCACCTTGCTGACCTTGTGACAGTTAATTAGCCCTTGTGAATTTAGGAAAAATGTGGAATAGGCATCATAGGTTCTGAAAGAAAGATTTTAAAAGGTTAGGAAAAATACACATTTAGGTGACCTCTTCAGACAGGTAGTATACTCCATACAAATGAGTGCCTACTGAGTATCTGTTGCCTGCACCAACATTTCAACCTAAGCAGCAGCATAATTTTGGGGAAAAAGCTTGAATTACCTAAAGCTGCTTAACCCTGTCATGGCAAACCAGTCCAAATAAGAGTACACTGCTTCTAGAACCCCAGCCCTGGTCTAATCATCCTGGTAGAGAATGGCACTCCTGCAAAAGCGTGATGAAAAAGCTCAAACCTTGTGCCACTCCCATGGAAGATCAGCCTCTCCTAAAGGAAGGGGCTGTGTTAGAACGGAGTGCATTGGGCTGGACCACTCAGCACAGGAAAGGCCTTACCTGTAAAACTCACTTTTATCTTTCTTATAGAAGCGGAACAGGAGAACATGGAAAGGCAGCCCTGTAATTCGCCACCGGGCTTGAATGCTCCAATTCTCTGGATGCTGTGTCACATTCAGCACCTCCATGTTCAGAACTGCAAAGTAGTTCCAGGCTACAAAGCGGCACAAGGATAGTGACACCTGGTACATGAGTTTGCCACTGGTAATGGAGAGGAAAAGGTGAAGACAACAAGGCTTAGATTAGAATGGGAAACTTATACACCCTCACTATGAAAGGATACTTGCATACACATGCATGTGCGCCCGCACACGCACGCACACCCCTTCCCCAACGCAGACAATAAAGTGATAATCTCAACATGGATTTCCCAATACTTTCATACATTAACCTCCTCCCTGCACCAAGGTGAAGTGTGGCCCTCCAGATGTGATGGATTCGTAACTGGCACTGACCACTGGCCGTGGGAAGTTGGATTTAAATAGGACCCGGATGGCAACAACATTCCCCAGGCCTGTGGTGTACTCATATTTCCCTTTCCCTCAACTTTCCTCCCAGTGTGGAGTCCGGTTCTTCCATCCCAACCACAGCAGGACACGCTCATATTGCCATCTCAAGCGGAAGCGTACATCATGAACTTCTATCCCTGCCTCTCCCTTCAAACATGGGTTAGCCTGTACCTACAGTTTTCTTCCCTTTGAGACAAAAGTCACTACCATTAAAACCATACCACTAACATCTGGAAAGATGTTAAACAAGTCTGCAAGCGGTTCATAAACATGTGGAAGGTATGTGATCATCTCCCCCACACCACCACATACACAGTCTACAACAAACAAGGCAGAAGTAGAAGGAAACTAAGGGATTTGTTAGGATAACTAATACTAGCAACAGTTAGCAAAATCGCAACAAACAGCAGAGATTCCCACAGCAAGATCATCCAACAGCACACACATAAATGCAATCCATTCTGCAAATCCTCTTGCACCATTCTCGAGGACAGGAGAAACAGTAGCAATAGATCAACACACTGCGAGTGGCCCATACTAGACAGCAGACAGAGTCATGGAAATCTTATTCCACCTTTCATCCACATCACTAACTACAGAGCAAGGTACTTAACTAACAGAGAAGACTCGTGAAGTCCCCCTTTTGAGTTCTTCAGAGTCTCAGGCTCAACTTTAAGTGGTGTATCCACTGAGCTGAGTTTACTGTTCTTGATGTATCTGAACAATGCCTTGCCATTTGCCAGCCTTTAAGTTTTATATGACAGTGCCAAGAGTTTAAATATTAGAAGATCCCCACGAAGAAGAAAGGAGGTCAACAGAACGCAGTAAAAGCAGTGGGAAGTCCTTACCCACAGATGAAAGAGTCATTGGAATTTGAGTAAAAGACAGCTAAATAGAGTGCTAGTTGAGGCCTTCTGCCTGCGATTAGAGTTATTTTACAAGGAAGTGGTTTACATCAACAGAATATAGTGGAGCTCCTTTGCCAATGCAATTATACCTGACACAGGCTGTCCAGTACTGCCTGCTTTCTAGGATCTCCAGGATAATCAGTAAGATGCATTTATCTTTGAAATGCATTTATCCATGTGGAGCATAATGTCATTAGCTTTGCAGCTCTTAGATCATGGGTCCTCAAACTACGGCCTAGGGGCCGGATCCAGCCTGCCATGGCCATTTATCCGGTCCGCCTCAGAGGTTTTCAGTGCATCCGCCACCACCTGCTCCCCGCACGGGGAGGCGGTGGCTTGCTCAAGAGGAGATCATTTTGGACTCGCTCAGAGAAAACGGCCTTCAAGCAAGCTGCTGCACTGCCCACCCGCCGCTGCATCATGGCATGTGCCCGCCCCCACCTTGCCTCGCCGCGCCCGCACGCACCACCGGCACCACCTTTCTGGCCCGCGCCTAGTACTGACACCTTTCAACTGGCCCTCTGCTGAAAAAGTTTGAGGACCCCTGTCTTAGATCTTCAACTTACAGAACAGACTGAAGAGACTGCATATTCTTTAGATACCCAGTAGAACCTTTCCCTTGCATCAGGAAGTAGACCAGAATTTTTCAAGCTAGTGCCATACAGATTTTAGTTTTTAGGCTACACTTTTCTTCACCCCAACTAGCATGATTAGTGGTCAAGCATGGTGGAAGCTGTGACCCAAAGTATCTGGAGGGCACCAGGTTGGGGAAGGCTGAAGGAGACAATCCAGTCAGCAGGGATTCCCCCATTCTCAGGACTAACCGTGTTCTCAGGTGCAGAATCTCATTGATGAACTCAACATCCTGGGAATACTTTTCATAGTTGTGTGCCTTCACAAAGAAGTATGGTAACTGAAGGAGAAGAAGAAAGGATAAGGAACAGTGAAGAATTCAGGTGCTATGTTCACAAAGCTTTTCTTGCTGAGCTCTTTGGCTGATGTTACACCCCAAATTGCTGAAACAAACACTCAGCAAATTTTACTTCAAATGCTGAACTTTGCATATGGAAATTCAATGTTCAGTACTTGGTATTTTAACTCCATTTTCAATTGTAGATATGCACTGGTATTGACATTTAATTTAAGCCCATGGCCTGGATCCCAGACTCAGCAGTAGATTTTCAGGAGACCGTTACAGCGGAGTTGGAAGTCCAAGTGTGTGCATCCTCTGAACACTGGGTGGTCTTTGGAGCCTAGCCTTTCACTCCATCCCACACACAAGACGGCCTCTTGAGAATGAAATCTGAATCCTCCATAGAGCGAAATTTTGTAGGCTTTTAAATTTTAGTGGAACTTATTACTGAAATGTCTATCCTGCCTTCATACAAACACCATCAAAACACAGAAGCTGTCTTATAGCAGGTTGGATCATGTCTACCTGAGGCCAATATGATGTAGTGGCTAGAATGTTGGACCCAGGAGATCCGGGTACTACTCCCCAGTCAGACATGAAGCGCACTGGGTTACTGCACCACTCACTGACTCCCAGCCTCAGCTATGGCACAGGGTTCTTGTGAGGAGAAAATGGAGAGGGGGGGTCATATAAGTTGCCTTGGATTCCTTGCAGGAGGAAAACAAACAGGGTATAAATGTAATAGTAATATATAAAATAAGATCTAGTCCAATCATTTACACTGACTGGAAAGAGAGGTGGGGCCAAATGTGTTACTTCTTGAAGTGTTCCACAGCTGGGGTCCAGAACTTTAAGCCTGGTGTCCAAATCCCTAGCTAGCTGTTTGAACCTCCAAAGGCAGTGAGAAACACACAAAAGACACATGACCCTCTGAAACTAGGGAGTTCTTCACTTCTGTCCAAGTACTCAGAGCCCAGTTGCCACAGCACGCCACACCTAACCCATAACAAGTTCAGAATACATAAGTCTATTCCACTAACCCATTGAGTGTGAATTTCTAGAAAGGAGAAACACTACCCCAGAACAGTACAAGCTGCGCCTGCATACCTCTTCCCGCAGTTTCTGGTGCATGACTGCAAGGTGCTCCTCCATGCTAGGGTCTTTGCTGTCTGGAGAACTGACTGGGGAGAGGGCCCCAGTAGTGGCTTGGAAGGGTGCAAGGGGACCCACTGCTACCTCAGGAGCCTGGTATGGGGATCGGTATTGCCAGCCATGGAAGAGGCTGTGCAGAGAGTCCAAAGAGGCGCCGTCCAGGCCCTCACTTTCACGCACCACAATGTCGTCCTCTTGCCTCCCATTCACCAGGGTGACAGCATCATCCATGCCTTCTAGCAGGGAGAGCGCAGCAGGAGGAGAAAGTGCCCTTGTCTCTGGAGCGCATGTCGGCAGGTGACGTCTGGTTGTCAGTTCAGCAGGGCTGCTAACAGCCAAGTTGCTCCCAGCAGGCACAGACAGTGCAGGGAGGGTGCTGGCAGCTTCCAGCAGCTTCTTGGCGAACAGGTAGTGGAATGTTGGCCCTATGGAAGCGGACGGGACAAGCCCTGGAGGTAGTTTATCTGAGGAGGCATCCAGCTCCTAGAATGAAAGAAGACATTTGAGGCCAATAAAATAACCTGCACTTAAGGTCATCAAATAAGTTCACAGTAAATTAATAAATTGACTCCATGTTAACCACTCATGTGCCAAAGCTGCGAGTGTACGTGTCCTCGCCAATGATAGTCCTGTAGATGTAGAGCATGGCATGCTGTAAAGCAGGGCCTGCCAATGCAGCACCTGCAGGTACCCTGGCATCTGCCAAGACACCCAGCAGTGCTTATTAAGACTCGCGTGTATTCCCTGCTGCCAACTTCTGGAGAGAAGGGAGTGCAATGGGGAAGGCTGAGGAAGATTTGCAGTGGGGTTGGGGGACAGAGACTGCAGACAGACTGTGGGTAAGAACTTGGGAGTTTCCAGCAGGAGGGAGAGTGAAAAGGAAAGCTGTAGCAGGCACCAAGAAGAAGGGCACAGGAAGGAAAAAGCGGGGAGGAAAGACAAGTGGGCATCCCAAAAGTAAAAGCCTACAGCCCTAAATAAGCAATATGGCCATGGATCCTCCTGCCTTCCCCTGCAAAATAATGTGCCCACATGACCCAAAAGGTTGCCTTCTGGTTAAACCATGCTGCAAGTCACCTGACTCACTGCAACCTATGAATGAATGAATGAATGCCTGCCAAAACATCCTGACTTTGACAGCCCATTAAACCAAGTGGATAAGGGCATACACACTGAGACATGAGGAAGGTCCATCTCATCTACGGCTGTGATGGAGATGAGAGCCCCGACAGCAATTCTGGTGGCAAGAAAGCCCTTAATGTAAAGCCACCAAGCAATCAGTGGACTGAAATGCCCTGCATCCCCAGCAGGCAACTGACATATGCAAAAGATGGATTCTAACCTGAAGAGAATCAAATGAGATACGCTAAGAGCAGAGACCAACATATGAGGCAGGAGTTCTGGAAAGCTTACTAAGACTTGGTTGGAATTCCACAGTGAACGAACCAGAGAACCATATGAAGACTGAACTAACTGTGTTATCTTAGTCAATTTTGCTCATTTCCACAGCCTTGGAAGGCTGGGGACTAGTGCCCTGGTCAGAAGCTCGATTTTGCTGGTGACCTGCTTTGAGAATCAGATAGCAATGCTTTAAGTGCTAAGCCCCCATATTCCACATCCAAACTGGCCCACTGGCAAGTCCTGTAGTCTCACCTATCATACTCCTCTTAAAGTTTCAGTCTTTTAAAAACAACCACCTTCTATCTGATAACCAGAAATCATTCTTCATAAGGCTAAATTTGACCTAGAGCAACCAGTTGCTAATGTAGTGGTTTCAGGACAAAGGGCAGTCCATGTACAATCCTAATAAAAACAAGTCCCATATGTCATTCCCTATTCCTTCCAGCTTCTATCCCTGGGGCCAACTTAACATTACGTGGATAGAGAGCTCATGCATCTATTCAACAGCCTCACAACATTACACACTCTTACGTAAGCACAATAGTCTTGCAGCTGCTTTCTTAATCTGCACTATACAGCAACTGGTACACAGAAGGTGCAAAGAATATGTCCACAGTAACATCTAGAGCAAAATTTAGTAACCTGAAAGTATCAGCTTCCTACTTTTTATAGGAATACAGAGTTAAATTTGAAATATATGAACAGAATTTAGCAAAACTTCATACAAAGGAAGGGTTCCAGTGAGAGTAAGTAAGGTTTTAGGACTGCATGGAGCAATCTGTCCTTTCCTGGGGAAACCATTTCCTGCTTCTCTCCCTCTATAGTTCACCTAGTTCACTGGCATTCACCCAGTGCTTTAAATAACTCATCTTCTTTGTGAAGATCTGAATCTGAGAAGGCAAATGGATTATACAAAATGAACAAACACATACACATTTATGCAAATACATAAGGAGTCTCATGAGTTCTTAAAGACTAACATTTTTATTATAGCATGTTTTAAGTACTTGAGCACCTATCATGTCCAAGACCTTGCATAATAATAAAAACGTTTGACTTTAAAATCCCACAAGACCCTTTTTTTGTATGTTTGTTAATTTGTATAGTTATGAGATGAGTAGGAAGAAAACGTAGGAAGAAAAAATGTAGGAAGAAAACCAGGGCTCAACAAGAATGAACGAGGTTTCTACACCAATGCCTGGAGTATGGGAAACAAACAACATGAACTTGAGCTCATAGTATGCAAGGACAATTATGATCTTATAGGTATAACTGAAACTTGGTGGGATGACTCACATGACTGGAACTCTACACCTGATGGATACAACCTGTTCAAGAAAAATAGAAAGGACAAAAAGGGAGGCAGAGCCACACTGTATGTTCGAGACAAGTGCATCTGCAGAGAAGTACAGGAAGAGTAACTTAGTAGCCCCATTGAAAGGTTCTGGCTTGATTTAGGGTTAATTTAAATTTAAATTGCTCCCTTAATTTAAAGGGAGCAATAAAGAAGAAAAACATAGTTACTGGTGTCTATTCAAAAAGAATACAAGGATACAACCTTTGAAAAGCAACTTGCCAGCATTTTCAAGACAAACGATGCAGTCATCATGGAGGACTTCAACTTCCCTGATATAGAAACACAGAATATAGAACCATAGAAAAAAGTGAATCAAAAGGGGTCTCCTGGGCCATCTAGTCTGACCCCCAGTTCCAGCTGGCTCCGCTCATGTAATCCCCAACATGTGGTTGGGGGGATATATGCTGGCAGTAAATTTCTGCCAAATGTGGCCCCTTCAAGAGATTCCTAACATGCATTGCCATCAACTTCCTCCAGCAGAAGGTAGAGGAAGGAATGAGAGGATCAGCTATCCTTGATTTAATACTAATAGGAATGGCCTGGTGGACAAAAGAGCAACCAGGGGAACTCTGGGGGAGAGTGACCATGCACTTGAATTCTCAATTAGAAAGGAGACAAAAGGTCTCCAAACACATATTTTCACTTCAAGAAAGCCGACTTTGACAAACTCAGAAAAATGATAAATGAAATACCATGGCAATTCACTTTCAAGGGAAAAGCAGTCCAAGAGGACTGGGACAACTTGAAAAGGAAGATTTTCCAAACACAACTACGAACAATTCCAAGAAAAAAGTGTAGAAGACAACAGAAAAGCTCATGTGACTCCACTAAAAGTTAAGTGACAACCTGAAAGAAAAAAAAAAAAAACATGTACAGGAAGTGGAAGCAGGGCCAGGCCATAAAGGAAGAATAAACAAATAGTAAGGAATTGCAGGGACGACATCAGGAAGGCTACAGCAGGAAATGAACTGAGAATAGCAAGGGACTCTAAGAACAACAAGAAAGCCTTCTTCAGATACACCCAAAACAAAAGACATGTGAAAGAGAAGGGTGTCCAGCTACTTAAAGTGGATGGCAGAGTGATATCAGACGACAAGAAAAAGGCAGAGGAGCTCAGTTCCTACTTCACCTTAGTCTTTTATCACAAGAAAATCTAGAACCAAAAGGAAGTACAGGCTGAAAGTAAGAGGTGGCAGCCCAAGACTGACAGACAAATGGTCAAGGAATACCTAGAGGGAATAAACACATTCAGATCTCCAGGGCCTGATGAACTCCATCCTAGAGTCATAAAAGAGTTAGCAGAGGAACTGTTAGAACCATTGGCTATTATCTTCCATAAATCTTGGAAAATAGGAGAAGTGCCAGAAGAATGGAGAACGGCTGACATTGTCTCTGTCTTCAAACAGAGAAAAACGGAGGGGGGGGGGGGAGTATAACATGGTGTCCTGCAAACAGGGGGGAAAAAGATGAACCTGGGAACTACAGACCAGTTGGTGGGACATCAATCCCTGGAAAAATTCTGGAGAAAATTATTTAAAAATCAGTTTGTAAGCATCTTGAAGAAAATGCAGACATTAATTTATTATCAAAAATAAATCCTGTCAGACTAATTTAATCTCATTTTTTGTCTGGATAACCTCCTAAACAGACAGAGGGAACACTGTGGACACCATCTACCTAGACTTTAGCAAAGCATTTGACATAGTGCCCCACAACGTACTGATAAGCAAATTAGCAAAAAGTGACTAGACAGAAAAACTATTAGGTGGATCCAAAATTGGCTTCTAAATTGGGCACAGGGAGTGCTCATCAATGGCACCTTCTCAAACTGGAAGGAGGTAACAAGTGGGGTGCTGCAGGGTTCAGTCCTGGGCCCAGTGCTCTTCCACATCTTTCTTAATGATTTAGATGCAGAAGTACAAGAAAAGATAATCAAATTTGCAGATGAGACAAAACTGGGTGGAATAGCAAACACCCCAGAAGACAGAATGAAGATCCAGGGAGATCTTGATAAATCTCAAGCTATTCAATGAGATTCAACAGAGACAAGTGCCAAGTCCTCCACCTAGAAAAGTAATACCAAATGCATCAGTACAAGATGGGAAATAAGTGGCTCAACAGAACTGAAAAAGAAAAAGACCTCAGAGTAATTGTGGACAACCGGCCAAATCTGAGCCAACAATGTGATGCAGCCGCAAAAAGGGCAAATGCTATTCTGTGATGCATTAATAGAAGTATTACTTCCAAACCATCTAGAGGAAAAGTAGTAGTTTGCCTATACTTTTCACTAATCAGACCTCACCTGGAATACTGTGTCTGATTCTGGGCACCAAGATTTAAGAAAGAGGCAGAAAAATTAGAAAGGGTTCAAAGGTGGGCAACAAAAATGTTCCAGGGTTTGGAAACACTGCCCTACGAGGAGAGACTGAGAGAACTGGACATGTTCAGCCTTGAGAAGGGAAGACTGAGGGAGGACATGGTATCACTCTATAAGTGCCTCAAAGGTTGTTGAAAAGAGGAAGGTCAAAATCTCTTCTTGCTGATACCAGATTGTAGGACACAAAATAATCAATTCAAGTTGCGACAACCCAGATTCAGGCTGGACATTTGGAAAAGCTTCCTCACTGTCAGAGCAATACAACAGTGGAACCAGCTGCCTAGAGAGGTGGTGGGCTCTCCCACACTAGAAATATTCAGAAAGAACCTGGACAGCCATGTGAGTGGGATGGTGTAACATGGTGTCCTGCAATAGCAGGGGGCTGGACTCGATGGCCTTCATGGCGGCTTCTCACTCTACTATTCTATGATTCTATGAGTGCTGCAGAACCAGACCAAAGGCTAGTCTAGAGCCCAGCCTGTTTTTCACAATGATCCACCAGTCACCCCCGGAAAAACCCACAAGGAAGAGAAATAACTTAAGATTGTCTGAAATTTTATGGGTTCGGAATACACTAAAGAAGAGAAGGTCTAGCGGGGAAATCATCCATGTTGTGGGGTGGGATGCACGTCCCCCCGTTTTTCAGGGATTTGAACGTTCTCCCGATTGTTGTCCCTGTTTTCCTCCGAGCCTCTGGTATGATGCACAGCCTCAGCATTTTCCAGCGGATGCAATTCCCACTTCTCAGTGGGAGCCTGACCACCACTCGCATCTCTCATCACCCACCAGCCTCTTCCTCCACTCGCCATGCCTCCAACGTATTGATCAATCGCACGTCCATCCTGCCCGCAGCCAGCCTCTCCAGACACCCGTGATGCTCATGCACCTTCCAGCCGAAGCAGCCCTGCCGTCGCCTCGCCTCGCCTCGCCCGCGCCTCCGCTGGTCCCCCATCGGCAGAGGAGCAGGGCGCTTGGCCACGCCCACCCGAGGCCACCCGTCCGCTCGTCGGTACCTCGCTCACCCGCGGCCGCACCCGGTGACAGCACCGCGCCGCCTCGCCCTGGCCCAGCCGAAGGCTGCCGCTCCCCTCCCATCGCCAGGGGCACCGGGACGCTAGGTGCCTGGCCACCGCCCGGCTCCGCCGATACATGACGCGGACACGAGGCGGTGGTGGAGGCAGCAGCGACTCCGCTCCCTGCCCACCGCCTCACAGCCTGCTCACTTCAGCCGGCGAAGTCACGGCGACTGCGCCAACGGAATCACATTGCGCAGGCGCAGTGACATGGTCTCCTTGGCTGAAGGAGGAAGACCCGCGCAAGCGCACTCTTTCCCGCTCGCTCGAGCTTTTGCGAGCAAGCGCGGCGTGGGCGATGCCTTAGCGCTTGCGCGGTGGAAAGAGCGGTAAGTGTAAGGACGATAATGTTGATCGTTCCCGCTATGTTAATAGTTTGCAGCAGCACTTCTGGTTCTCTGCTGCAGCTGGTAGAATCCTCCATGTGGCGGGCAAGAGTGCCGGAAGCATACAAGCTTGGGTCGCTGCTTGGCATATCAGCCCTGAATTTACACAGCTGAGCAGGGCTGTCAAGGACAGGGCACTTTTGGAGGGCTTCCACTTACAGGGTCACCGCAAGGTGAGAGCTTGATGGGACGGAACGCCAAATATCACAACTCGAAAGCAGAAAGAATTTAGGGTCAGGGCTGCGGAAGCAGGTTTCCTCCCTATGCTGGCCAACTCACTTTCATCACTGATCAGTTCTCGCTCCAGAATTGTGAGATGTTGGGCAGGCCTTGATATCCAAGCCCATAGCTGGGCTTGCCACCCTATTTCCCCTGCCCAAATTTTTAAATCAATTTAAAACAATTACCATTTTGTTTTGAAAGGGCCAGAAAACCAGATGAGTCGCCTCTGTTTTTGCAATCCTAGAACACTTCAAATGCTGCTGTAAAAATCCCTGAAAAACCGTGGTGGTAGTGCATCCCACCCCACATAGTTGTACTCTGCACATCTGAAGAGCACCAGAATGTGGAAGGCTGTTTCCTCAAAAGTGCACAGTTCAGTGAATCTTACCTCGAAGTACATAAAATCGCAACCGATTTCAGTGTGATTAGGCATACCTGAATCTCCAGGCGAGGATGAGATCTTTGTTTTTTCATTTTATGTCAAAGTTTTTTTTCTTTTTGCTGTACCTTTTAATTATTTTATGACGTTTCCCTGATGTGCTTGCAAATCTGAATAGGGAATTAAATGTTGCTGTAAATGCATCAAGCTGGTTAGTGTGTTAGTTGGACTCTTGATTTATAAACAAATAGAGGCACACTGCTGCACTGATTGCCAGAAATTGAACTGCCAAGTCGTTTCCTGCACTAATCAACACTCTCAACTACTTTTTTTCTTCCTAGTTACCAGAGTTCTTATCCCGACAGCCAGGGCAAAGGCACACTGGTCTCTTCATGCTGGAACAAAAGGACACTTTGGGGTACTAAAACTGTGTCTTGCATCTGAAGGATTCTGGCCAGAAAGTCACAGCTGTGCAAAGTTTTTCATTCTCTTGACCTGCTAGCTGGGCAGGCCAAAGTATGGTCTTTTTCTATCCTTTCAGGCAGTCAGCACAGGCTGTGCTTGTTCAAAGAAAGCTACTAAATGTGTGTGCAGATGTTCATCAGAACTGTGGTTGCCTAAGCTAAGCTTTGCATGCCTTTGACAGCAACACCAACATGGAGGGATATTTGCATGCTCAACCCCAACCAGCAATCCCCACATTACTGGAAATAACCGGCAAGCGGTACAATTCAACGGCCTCTGCAGATGGCACTCCTTTGAGCATGAGTGTGAAAAATCCTGTGAGTCTGGACACTAACAGTTGTAAGATTGCAATGTTAAGAGTATTGCAGAAACCCTGGTGCTATTTCCAAATTTCAGCCAAAGTGCTGCGCACTTTCAATGGAAGTACTTCTATTAAATCAGTACTAAAATTTGATGGAGCATCAATAAATTTGAGGTTTCATGCTGCCTGAGCAAAGTGATGACTTACCTTTGACAAGATAATGGATGAGCATTCCCTCCAGGCTGTGGGATGTGATGGGGGTAGCAGTTACCCCCTCCCCTTTTCTCCATGGGTCTATGACTGCTGCAGTCACGAGATAAGGCATTAATGATCCCCATTCAAGACCATGTATTTCCCCTTTAAAGTGCCATGTGAGTATCCAAGTGGCAAAAGAAACCCATGTGTATTCTAAAAAGAAAAGAACTGAGTGAAGGATGCCCATATGAACACCTTTAAAGATCTTTTCGAAAAATACCTCCTCTTGTCATATTGTGCTCCCTTTAAAGCAATATTGGATAACTCCTGAGATGATAGCAAACAGTTGAGGGAGTTAAACAAAGATATGTAAGAGGGGACACTGGAAGTGCCAGATTAATAAAATAGCACTCACACAGAGAGCAAAGATCCTTGTAACTTTCCCCTAT